CCACCATATGTATTTACTGCCTTAGGGTATATCAGGCATGTGGAACCTTTGGCCTTCCTGATGTTTCTGAACTATAACTCTCATCATTGCTGGTTATTGGCTTTGCTTGCTGGAGCTTATGAGAGTTTTAGTTGAGCAACATCTGGAGGCCCAAAGGTTCCCCATGCCAGGGCTATATGAAACTTAAATTGCAGAAGGAATAAGAGAAATACCAGATCATGACAAGGGTGCCTGGATCTTCAATATAATATGACTAGCCCTGTGTTATGGGAGGAATGAAGAACAAAGAATCCAATTTTAGCTGGGCACCCAATTCAGTTCTCTGGATCTAGGATATTTGTCTTCCTGTAACTGTATCATGGCCTGCTTTAAGCCTTGTTTGGGGCTTCTTAACAGTTTAAACGGTAGTAATTTTGTTCAGTATCATGTTCAGATTGCAAATACTACCCAAGTATAGGACTTCATGACTGATTGATCAAAACTATGCTATCAGAACTTGGGCTGCAGTCCTAATTATGTCTATTCAGAAGTAAGTACCATTTCATTTCTTGGGGCTTACTCCCAGGTAAGTGGGATGACTAACGCAGCCTAAAACTCTGAAAAGACTTTTTAGCTGGCAGCTATAATTTCCATTATTCCTTTTAACAGCTTCGTGCTAATGCCCTCATCAAGCGAGGCAGTATGTATATGCAACAACAACAACCTCTGCTCTCTACTCAAGATTTTAATATGGCTGCCGATATTGATCCTCAGAATGCAGATGTTTACCATCATAGAGGGCAGGTATTTATTTTACTTATTATTAAATTTCCCACCCATACCTTCATCCACAAAGGGATTCCAGGGTGACATACAAACCAATGCAAATATCTATATAATATTAAAATAGTAGAATGTAAAGTGATAATCCAGGGATAGTTCGTAGTAGGTAGGAGTTGTTTTGGTTATTTCCCCTTCAGAATCAGATACTCTGTAACATATAGAGTATATTGTTACAGAATATTAGAGAGAGAGAGAGATATTGACAAATGTGCTTTGATATTTGAGTAGTTCTTAAATATCTCTTAACTGCTAAAAAGTAAGCAACTGGAGAGAAGTGCAAGATTAGTGTTAAATGGGGATGGATGCTAAACTTGCTATAAACAAGAGACAAGTACTAGGCAGCTGGTTAGAAATTACCCATGCAAAATATATTTTCTAATTGGAGTAGGCCTGTCTTCCCTGGTAATTAGAGTGTGGAATGATTTTTTTCTGGTATTCTATCATTGGCATTGACTTTTCCTTGTACAGCATGCAGAGCTTTGCTCATACTTCTTTCTTTGTGTTAGCTAAAAATTCTGCTTGACCAAGTTGAAGATGCTGTAGAAGATTTTGATGAATGTATCCGTTTGCGGCCAGATTCTGCCTTGGCACAAGCACAGAAATGCTTTGCATTGGTAAGTATATGGGGTTTTATTAAGATTTTACTGTCAAGCAGTCAAATATTTTGTCAAAATACTGTTTCGCTTTCAGAAAGTTGATGGTTTACATTTCAGAATGTATTAGTTATTGCTTGGAGGTTAGATGACAATAAATTAGTTTTCTGCCATGTTTTTTACATAGTCACTTGGTTTTTTTTTAACAGTATCGTCAAGCCTATACTGGAAATAACGCTTTACAAGTACAGTCGGCAATGAAAGGCTTCGAAGATGTTATTAAAAAATTCCCGAGGTGTGCTGAAGGCTATGCACTATATGCCCAGGTATATGTTTCTTTTCAGTTGTGAAGAAATTGTGTATTATCATGAACCAGCTCAATAAATAATACTTCTTAATACTTCATGTGCTAACAGATTGGGCTAGTATATGCCACTTATTTTTGGAGAGGTATACGAGAATGGGAACGTAGTCTTTAAACTACATTTCTTTCATTATTCAATTATGTTTATTCATACAGGCATTAACAGATCAGCAGCAATTTGGCAAAGCTGATGAGATGTATGATAAATGTATTGATCTTGAGCCAGATAATGCTACTACTTATGTTCATAAAGGGTAAGTACTGTACTTGCTTGCTACATTTATGACTTATCTGCAGGTCTGCTTTTGTGGTTTATTGTATGTGTGAAAACGTCTCCTAAATTTTAGATCTGAAATAATCTGTCTAAAAAGATAATGGGTTGTATCCAGTTCTGTCGCTCAACTGATGGTAAAGCTTCTGTTAACAAAATGGGGATTGAAGCAGTTTTGGATGACCTGTTCCTCTTGTGCTCCAGCCTGTGGTCCAGAAGGTTAAGGGACTCTTAAACAGGTTATATTGGAGGGAGGAGAATCACTGAAAACTGCTTTGCTCTCCATTACACTGATGGAAGCCGTTCCATCAGGAGGGTGACACAGAGGGATAAAATCCTTCCCTAGTAAATGGACGTGGCGTGAAAAAAAATCCACTATGTTATCTTTCAGTTAAAATGTTGCACTTAGTTTTATGCAGTACTACCTAAGTATGTATATGTGCAACTTTTCAGGCATACTAAAATAAATATGTTAACAGTGCCTCCACATCGAACCCTTCCACTGAAATCAAATATGCTATTGAGTAGTTATGTGTATTTTAAAAGTATTGATACACATACTCATTTCAATAAAAATTTCCAAGTGAACCTTTGAGTTTGTTTGAATACTGAATTAAAATCACACTACTTGGACTTCCATTTTTTCCTAATCACATATTTCAGTTCATTGCTGCTGGAAAATCTACTCAGATATTTATGCAACATATTAAATTAGTAAGACATGCTTCTTGTAATTTTTTTTTTTTACTAAATGAAAGTCAAACATGCTAAATCAGATCTCCAGCATTTAAGGGCAGCTGTAAATATTTTGGAAAAAAATTCCAATCCATAATTTTCTGGAAAGCTCACTTTATTGGTGGTAATAATCTAACATTAAAATGTTTTAAAGGTATAGTGATATTATTGGGTTGGATCCAGAGTTCCCATGAACAGAGCTCTGCTTATGGGATGCTCCCAGTAGAAGTGAAATAATTGTTGTTGCTAGTTTTATCTTTCCCCCTCTTCTTGAAACGTGTGCGGGATTGCAGAGAGGGCTGAAGGGTGGAAAACTGATTCATACTAATGGGAGCCTCGTGGTAGGGACACACGGGATTCAAGCTATAATCGTTAATTTATAAATAGGTATCTGCTTGGTATGTGCTGGATTAAAAGGTGTGATTGAACTGATAGGGAGGCTTAATGTTTCACCTTCTGCTTTCAGCAGTAACAGTTGGATTTCTGTCCAAGAACTCTCACCTGATTTGAATCCAGCTGTGCTGTTGACAAAAACAAAAGTTGGCATGTTTAAATAGAATCCGGCCTCTATTTTGTCAATGATACAGTCACAAAAGGTATACAGTAGTACCTTGGTTTACAACCATAATCCATTCCAGAGGTCTGTTTGTAAACCAAAACAAGTTGTAACCCAAGGTGTGCTTTCGCCAATGGGGCTTCCAAAAATAATTTGTTCATAATCCAAAAGAAGGGGTTGTAATCCAAAAAAAGTTTGCAAACTGGGACACAAACCTCCGGGTTTGACATGTTTGTAATCCAAAACGTTTGCAAACCAAGGTACCACTGTATATGTAAATGACTATATCTGACTTGGATCCAGAGCCTACTTGACTTTAGGGCTCTTTACTTTTTCAGACTGTATTTTCTTTCTTAGAATGCTACTATGTTAGGTCTGTTGTTTTCATACAATTCACTTAGGCCTGCAATTGTTTTTATTGCAGTTTACTTCAACTTCAGTGGAAGCAGGATTTAGATAAAGGTTTGGAACTTATAAGCAAAGCCATTGAAATTGATAACAAATGTGACTTTGCATATGAAACTATGGGGACAATTGAAGTGCAAAGGTAAGTACCATATTTTTTCCAGTTTGGGAGTCTAGAATGCTACATTACTGTCATTTGACTTCTTCCTTCAAGACTGTTTGTTGGAAGCAGATGGCCCTATAGCACAGCAGTAGAGAACTTCTGCCACACGAGCCTGATAATCTGTCCCCTGACACTTTGCCAGTCTGCAAAGGAAATGGTTCCACACGCTTGTCAAAGTGGCCCTGTGGGGTTTGGGAAGTAAGGATCCAGCCACCAGCTTGATCCAGTACTCCAACCCTGCTGGTAATAGGAAAGGGATAAGCTTCATTGCCCGTCTCCCTCTTCTGTACTCTAGGTGCCAAGTGTATATCCCTTGGATCAGGCGCTGATCCTCTAGTACAGTCTTTCACAACCTTGGGTCCCCAGATGATGTTGGACTACCACTCCCATTATCCATGATTGCTGCCCCTTCTGGCTATGGATGATGGGAGTGGTAGTCTAACAGCATATAGGACCCAAGGTTGAGAAATGCTTCTCTGGTTAGGTACTGATGTACTAGTTGAAAACAAGTGCTTTAAGTCATTAGTGACTTCCTTTGCAGAACTGATGTTGACTTTTCTTCAGCTGAACTGCATTTTGGCATCAGCTGTTACTAAACCAGTATCATTTCTCTACTATCATATTGGTGCGATTACAATTCCAGCTTGTCAAAAGACAAGCAGCTATTATGCATACCATGCTACTAAACTTTGAAAAGCTTCCTCACTGGAAACCAATCTCGGACAAAAGCACTGTAACCCCATGGGCCAGTTCTGTAGTAGTGAACAATGTGGTCTCACTGACATTGAAGCACCATGATGCAGTATATAATAGTGCAGTGTGTATCTGTGTCTGTGTCTGTCTGTGTCTATACACACAGAGAGATATGTGTACTTCCACCCACACCTAATTATAAGGTAGTCATATGTAAGCTACTTTAAGTCCCACTGAATTCGATGGAACTTATGCTAGGGAAGTGGGCCTAGGATTGCAGCCTTAGAGTTAAGATTGCTCATAGCATATAGGTCTGGACGTGGGCCCCAGCAGATGTTGCCTAAACTGCAAAAAGTGTTGTAGGCAATGCAGGAATTACGGAAGCAGAGTCATAGTTACATACATATGTACATACACCATTTTATTTATATGCTGCCTTTCCATAGTATAAACCATGCTCAAGGTGGCTTACAGCATAAACAACATTACATAATTTCAAGCCTAACAAAAGTAGTCATAAACAGTAAATAAAACATCAAAGAGTACACAACCAAACTGAACAATTTCCACATAAATCACAAGATCTAAAATATAGATACAAAAATTGATAACAGCAACAACCCTCCCACAAACAAAACCCCCTAAACTATACCCCAGCCCAAGATTCTGTTCAGCAGCCCAAGCTTTTGTAGCTGGAGTCAGTCAGGGCCCTGCCCTCCCAGGCCTGGTGGGGAAAGGTCTGCAGGTCTTCCAGGACTCACAGCTAAGAGTTTTGGCCACACAACAGCAATAAACAAACAACCTGCTCAAATTGTTTATCATATAAGTTGCACCTTTTGGGGGGCCATACTTCTGTATACCTTTACATTTTCTATAGGATATCTAGTATTTTAGAGAAAGTTGTGACAGCTGGCCAGAACAATCACATTAATTAGCACATTAAAGAATGAAGCTGTTGTTTGAGACATGGACATTCGGAGATCTTTGTGCATCCAGCATCTCCAAAATACTTTCATCATAATGAATTTCTAAGACCAGCTAAACAGGGACACAGATTTCCGAATAATGCCTATTAGGAAGTTGAGAGAAAAATGGCATACGGTAGTTAAAGGACACCAACAAAGCTGCAAAATTTTTTTCAATTGGAAAAAACCACACATTCTTTTAACATCCACATGTAACTGCTAAGCGTTAACTTATGGTATTTGATAAAGGACTTGTATATCTCTAACAATACTGGTGATTGCTAAGGAGGAAAGTTCAGCTTTCAGAATGCAGCTCTATCCCCGGCATTGTCCTTGGATTATTTTTAGTCTCTGGTTTTAGAATGGGCTTTTCTCTTGTCATATCAAGCTTTATTTCCTTTACATTAATGCAACCTTTCCCCTTTATTTCAGAGGCAATCTGGATAAAGCCATTGAAATGTTCAATAAAGCTATTAACCTAGCCAAATCTGAGATGGAAATGGCTCACCTCTACTCACTCTGTGATGCTGCCTATGCCCAGACAGAAGTTGCAAAGAAATATGGATTGAAACCACCAACATTGTAAAGAAAGAATTGGAGGGAAATGACCTTTTTAAAAGTAAAGCTGCCCCCTTCGACCTAGTCCTAAAGACACTGTTGCAGTGTGTTGAATGGTGGAAGTTAATCTGGGGTGGTTTTGGGGGGGTTGTTTTTTTTTTTGGTCCATGGTGTTGTAATTATCTGTTAAATGTTTAGGTGTTGCTGGAGTGGCTGTCCATCAGAGTAAGCAGTTTGTTCCCCCTGCAGCAAATAATTGTTAGAGGGAGGTTAAAAGAGTTGCAAGGGGATCAAATATTATTTTGGCCATGCAAATAAAAACCGTTTTGACTCATGTTTTGAGGGTGGATGTTGTGAATGACTGGCTCTATCTACAGGATGTTTTACTACTGCTTATTATGTTGATTTTAAAAATTAATAGTGCTGTGTAATTTTTTATATGCAATGAATCCCTCTGGCTTGATTTTATTTTTGCAAAGAACACATTATTTGCAAAGTTGTTGAATAGTAGGGATTTTTAAGGCAATTGTGGGTGAAGCTAAATCATTTCAACATAGTTATCATGTGCAGTTTTCTTTCTTCCCGTTTACAGTTTCTGCTTCATTTAATAGGACAGTAGCAGCTATACAGAAACCGAAGTTCTCAATCTGCTGTTCTAGTGCATGGTTTAGAGAACTACTTCAAAGATCTTTTGCAATTTACTAACTACCATTTATCAGTAGCCCTTTGTCCCCAAAAGCAACTTTTCCTTTCCCTTGTCTTAATTTGAAAGTCACTAGAAAAAGCCTATTTGTTAAAACGTTTTTCAGGAGAGCAAAATTGTCTCTGTTAAGGACACTGCCAACACTGGTCTTGGACTCGTCAGGTTAGTATGTGTGCTAGAATTGTTGTAGAAATAAGTATCAGACCTTGTTGGGGCGAAGTTTAGTTGAAAGGGTCCAACTTAACTTAGGCTTCAAAAGATGCTTTTGGGCTTATGCTGCGGCACAAAGCATCCATCTGCAGTTTTGTTACTTTTTCAGCTCTATTTTAAGAGCTGTTTCTATTCCAGTACTTAGCAAATTGCACATACTGGGTTGGATCCACACTTTGCTCCCATCAGTAGAAACATCTCTTGAATGGGGTTTTGCCCAGAGGATGCTACTGTTGGTGAATTTCCTTCTCCTCTGGTACCACATTCCACACTGTTCCAGAGAATTATGAGACCCTTTAGAAGAGTGGGAGATGATGCTAGAGGCTGCAGGGAGAGGAGGCAATCTGCAAAAGTTGCCTCCCCGCACAGGTGAGAGCTCTATTGGATTAAAAACCTCCTGGGAAGTCTGGATTCAATCCACTGTTCTCAGTTGCCCTACTGTTCCTAGGAGCTACTGAAGTGAACCAGTAACTGTAATAGTACTATTTCAGATTTACAAAATTTATTGTATAGCACATATGTGTTAAGATTGTATTCTGAGGTCAGTTAATTTTAGACTGCTTCCTAAACCACACATTGTGAAAACTAGTTACACTACATTTTGCTGAAAAGAGTTCATTCTGTTAATGTAATAAATGAAGAAGAAAATTGACAAGATTCAGTGATAATTTTAATCTTTCCATTATGTTCAGTTTGGAAAGTCAGCTGCTTCCAAAAAAAATTTTTTTTTTGAGTTCTTGAGTTTTCTATTGAAGTATCCCTCTCATCTGTAAATTGTATCATGTTTTTCAAAAGGGTTTTTATTTGCGTGGCTCTATGTACACTGACACTTCTGTCTCTGGAAAACAATTAAGAATTAAGCATGTGCTGTCTGATACTAGCATTCCAAATCATCACAGATTGTTTCCTGTTTTCAGATATTTGAAACTGCACTGAGAATTACATTTGTTTGTTATTTTTTTGTAAATGACTTACACTTGTAAAGTCACCAAATAAATATTACATTCAAATATCTCTTATACATGTAAGATTTAGGGTATTGGTTTTAAAATTGCTTCCTTAGAAAATCAGCATACAAAAAAAGACAATCATGTTATGTGAATGTGCTGCTAACTTCTCTGCACGGAATAGTGAAACTTCAAATAACCATGTTTTATTTCCCCATTTTTTTTGCTGGTGCAATGGGGTGTGACTTTTTAAAAAAGGAACCTTATTGCTATAGAATTTCCCTTTTAAAAATGGGTAACTTACCTAACAAGACAATTTATCCTAAGGGGCATGGAATCAGCATAGCTTTTTAAATGGGCCTGTCTACCAGAGCTCACCATTCGGCCCAGCCACACACCCCTGCTCTACGTGAAGTCAGGTGTGGGGCTGGACTGAAAAAGTGCTTGTAGGCACTTCTGATCAGCTGACCAGTAGTACCTGCAAAGCCGCAGGGCTGTGCAAAATAGAGCTTTGAAAGGGGCTTCTGAAGATCTGAAAATAGGCTGTTTAAAGGATGTGGGCTGCAATCCTAACCCTGCTAACCTGAATTCAGTAGGACTTACTTCTAAGTAGATTTGGTTAGGATTGTGCTGTTAGGTTGCAAGAGTAGCTTAGAAAAGTGGTTGAAAATTAGACTCCATCAAAAGTCACAGAGGAGCTGGACAAGTAGGTCTCTGACTCCACCATGATAAACAAAACAAATACGACCAATACACATCAGCTGATGTTTTTACTATTTATGGCAGGAAACCATACCCATACTGAACGTTGATCAATCAGTCTGTATAAACAAATGTACTGATGGTATAGAACTGCCTGGTCTTGTTAACTTGGGAAGGACTAGGTGAACACACAATCTTCTTGATGTGAAAAAGTATATACAACACGCTTTTAGGCAACATGGGTCTGAATTGTTTTGTACAGCATGTAGATATCTGAAATCTGCTCCAGGATCATGGTTATCCATGGGCATTGTCTGAAGGCTGTTAATGGAAACTAAGCTACTCTGGGTCTTGTCAATGCCCAGATGGTAGACAATTTGAGAACCCCATGTATGCAATCTTCAGTTTCATAGTGGAATAAATTATAATGAACAAGTTGTCTATTTTGTTGGAAATATAGGACTCTTAATGAATGAAAGCCTTACATGTAACATGATACAGTAACGTATAAAAATGTAAAGGAAAAGGCACTTTTGGACTATCCTGGGATCAGTATTTTCAGATTAGGCATATTTTGATTTGTATTGCTAAGGAAATTCAGCTTCCTGAAGAAGGAAGACTATTTAAAAAACGATTTCTCACCCCCCCCAAAAAAAATGTTACAAGAAAGTTCTAGGAAATATTTTTTTTTTATTAATGAAATGTTAACAGGTTTCAGAAGCACAGCAGGCCATAGCCATAAAAATTTTAGACAACTGGAAGTGAATTTGGGGAAATATACCTAGCACAACTACTTGTGGTGATTCTATTTAAATTGTAAATACGCGCGCACACACATGAATATAATTGTTGAGACTTCGAAATAACAAGCTGCTTTCCCACTGGTGTTGTCCTTTGATTACTTGGGTATTTAACCAGATAATAAATGACAGGATGCCCATCCCTGGTCTGACAGTTGATCTCTATCAAAGTAGCATTGCTGAGAACTGGAAAATGGCTGCTCAGTTTTCATTGAAGGACTGGCTTTTCAGAACTGGATATTGCAACTATGTACACTCTCCAGTTTTATCCAAGAGAGCAAACGAAAGACAAGCTGATGAACTTGTTGAAAACTAGGGCATAGTGGAATTCATTATCAGGCTTACTTCAGTCATTACATCTTGATAACAAGATTTCTGTAGTTTCTCTTATTTAGCTAGAGAATAAGAATTAATGCTGTCAGCAAAAAAGAAGAAAGATTAGGCATTATACCAGCTGTCAAGTTGGTATTTGAGCCATCAGCCTATTGTGTGGTCCATGCAACAGTGTGGAAATACAAACATTCCAAAATTTAAAGGTGTGATCTAGCCAAAGGTAAGCCTTTAATTGGCAAATTTAAAGAAATTCTTGACTATCTCCCATTGAGATCAATTGCAATTTAATAGGCCTCATTTTAGCTGAATCGTAACGTGTGTAACCCTATACCTGTAACTGCATTAGGTGGAGCTGGCTTTCAGGTAAGTGGGTATAGGATTATAGCCTTAATTTCTGTAAGGTCCCTCTCCCCTATGAGAATCTAATTTTTATTACATAGTACTGGAACTCCTGCGTTTTATATATGTAAAGGCTAACTTGAGAGCCCTATAAAACATTTTTCTGTTCTCCGGAGGGGATTAAAATTTGTACTATACATACTGAGGGTTTTTTGCTTTCTTGGCAGGTATAGATGTGTGAATCAGTGAGAATGAGCAAGAAGAGGGGGATGCTAGAAAAGAACTATCATCAAGTCCAAGCTACTTGGAAAACAGCAGCTAGTATGACAGCTATTAAATCTCAAGTGGGGGTCCTGGGGTGGTAGTATATGTGCTTGTGCACAGCGGGCAGTTTACATTGTGGCTTTAAACGAAGGCGTCAGATACTGAATACATGGTGTGTGTTTTCTAAAAAAAATAAATTTCATTTCACTGTATGTGCCTTTTTGCTTTTTAAAAATGTAACAAACTTGGTATTCCATCAGAAAGAAAAGCAGTTATTGGTTGTGGCAGCAGTAATTCCACATTTATACTATTGGGCTGAACACTTACAAACTTAAAGTATTTAAAACCTGTAAGTGTTTTATTAATGGAATCAAAATTCCTGTTTTGGTGAAAGTATATTTAGAAGTGGGTTATGAACCAGTGATCACTATTAAGAGTATCATTCTCTTTTCATCTTTGCTTTCACTCTATGAATTTGCCCATGGTCCCAGCTGTACTAATCATTCTGACTGTCCAGATATTTTACAGGATTGAAAGACTGGTAGATTTATTGTCCTTTATGTAGGTAAAATTTCCAACAGGTGTAGATTGTGGCAGATTTTTGTGACTTGCTGTTTGATGATGAGCAATGAACAGTGCACGGTGTCAGCAAACTTGGCCACAAATACCAACTGAATGTCAGAATGCAGATAATCTCTATATATGTTCTGAATACATCATTGTTAAAACAGCCTAGGAAGTACCTATCCCTTGAAAAACTACGTTAATTCAATTCTTCATTGAGAGACAAGAGACAATGTAGTTCATTACTTTGGGATTTGCAATGGAATGTTATCCACGTAAGTTGAATTTTATTTATATTTTAACAGAGTTGCAGCCCCACCTTCAAAGGTTCCCAGGACAGCTTTGGACTGTGTTATCACAACCACAAGGGTGAAGAACACCTTCACAGGAAGCTGTCTTATTTCAAATCAGCCTACTGGTCTATCTAGCTCTGTAGTTGACACTAACTAGGGACCTTCTGTTTACAAAACATGTGCTTTTATGACTTGACTACAGCACCTCTCCCTCCAGGAAAAGCCCCTGCCCCAAGGATGACTTATTCTAATAATTGATTTTGGTTCTATAAATACACCCCCAAGCAAACAACACAGTATATGTCAGTGTCTTTTTGTTGCTGAAGCACTAGAAAATAAATGTTAAATGCAGCAGAGTCATGTAATCCTTGTGGCTTTGGCAGTTAACCACAGATGCTTACAAACTCTTATATTTGGGAGATTTGCACAATTCAAAGCCACATTCCAGCCAGGCAAAAATATTTGAGTAGGCCATGACCTGGGGAGAAAGACATGGAAGGTTGCTTCTAGATTCCAAGCCTGAGGTTCCCCAACCTAACATTTGTATGAACAAACAAGTGTTGTACATAAATAAACCTGTTATCTCATGGAAGAAGCAACTCAGTGCTCCACCACTAGTTACTCCTGGCACAGTTTTCTTGAACTGATGGACAATGCAGCCTAAACAAGGTAACTTCCCCTTTAACATAAATAAGGGAATAATGCCCTTGGACTGGAGTGGGATAGAGCGCCGAACCTGCCGTGACATGAAACAACAGAATTCAGCTAACTGAGGGAATTGGAGAAGAGATTGATAGGGAGGGGAAAACTTTCAAGGACAGCTCAGAGCCTTGCTTTTCACTGAATGATGGTACAGCTTTTGCAAAATACTGCAAGGTCAAAACATATTGTCCCAAGTGTTGCTGCTAATAATAATACCCCGCCCATCTGGCTGGGTTTCCCCATCCACTTTAGACAGCTGCCAGCAGAATAGTTAAAACACGATACAACATCAAACATTAAAAACTTCCCTGAACAGGGCTGCCTTCAGATGTCTTCTAAAAGCTGTGCAATTCTTTATCACCTTGACATCTGATGGGAAGGCATTCCACAGGGTGGGCGTCACTACCGAGAAGGCCCTCTGCCTGGTTCCCTGTAACCACTTTTCGCAGTGAGAGAACCAGAAGATGACCCTCAGAACTGGACCTCGGTGTCCAGGCTGAACAATGAGGGTGGAGATAGTATTTCAGGTATACTGGACTGAGGCAATTTATCAAAGCATAATAGTCAATCTTACCATTGCGTGCATATATATGCTTGATCTCTAAGGCACTGCTATGGTGATACACATATATTTCAATGCATTGTGAAGTGGCTTAATCAAGTACCCTAATATAAAAAACTCAAATGTACCCCTCTCATTCAAAGCTTACCACTAGATTTTATATAGAATTTTTAATTTATAAATTGGGTTTCTTATCCTTAATAGATTTTTATCCGAAGGACACTTCATTTTTTCAACATCATTGACTAAAAATTTAGGAAAAGAAAGGTGATTTTTCTGTACTGGTCCAAGTCTCTATACATCATGCAAATTTCGATTCTACAGCATAAAGATCAGACCGCTTCTGAGAAAGAATGGGGATTTGCTGTCGAACTTCTGCAAGCCTCTTTAGGTCTGTAAACAGAAATAAGAAGGCCCATATTACCACCAATTCTCCCTCACTGCTCCTCACACTGCCCTGTAGCCACTATAATTTAGCATTTATCCAATGTTGACAACAACAAAAAACTGCCCCACAACCCAGTTATTGCAGTATTTTTAGTACCCCAGTGAAATTTATCAGTGTAAGTTTGGGGAGGTTTTGGATCACAGAAAAAGATTGTGTTTGTTCTAGATGAGGTGTGCTTGACAAAACTAATACACCCACAGCCAGAAAGAACTTATCCAAAGGAGGTATAATTGTTTTGTACAGGAAACAATTGTCCCTGCATATTGAGCAAACAACACAATTTCTGTTCCTTAACTAAGCTATGTTTTTTATTTTCAATTACAATAACAAAAACTACCTTTTAAAGTAAAACTGCCATGAAAATATTGGATACCATCTAGAAAAAAAACTACAGTATGTCAACTCAAAACTAAGGTTAACCTTGTATATCTCACTCCAATGATAAACTTGCATGACAATGTCCTTGTTCCCCAAACTAGATCCTATTGACACCCTATGCCCCCCATGTTTCCTGGCCTTTCCCTGACCATTTTTTAATGGAAAAAATGGAATATTTTAGTATCCCAATGGTAACATTCAATGCATTTCTTATGTGTGTTATTCCCTGGGTGGTTTTTTCTTCCTTTCAGAAGGAAAACAGTGGCAACTGGCTGAAATTTGGAGATGTTGTGCAGGTGACAATGTCCTAGGTTAGAAGGACTACCCTATATGTCTACTTATAAGTAAACTGCACAATGAAAAGTGTGCCTGGGTAGGTTTTTATCCCAGAAAACAAGATGAAGGTTAAATCCTTAATTTTCACATGCAAAATCAGTCGAATCTTAGCTTGGCAGATCCAGTGGTAAATTTTAATTTACCATTGCATGAAAGACATGCAAAGTTATTGAGCCTGCTTTGCGCTCTCACTCATAAATATCCTTGCGGGGGGTGGTGGTTTATTCCCATTTTATAGTCAAGGAACTGAATCGTGTCACTCTGTCCCGGTTTAATGCTACAGAAGAAGCCCATGCCACGGGAGGACAAAAAACACTACTGCGGACTCACCTATATCTGCATAGATAACAGTTTCCTCAGTGCCAGCTTTGGCTATGACCTCCCCCCTGAAAAAGAAAACAGAGCCATGACAGAAGCTCTCTGGGAGCTGGGAGGAAACGGTCAACAGAGCTGTGGTCTTTACCTTGTTATAGGTTAATGAACATATTTTAAAACTTAAAATAAACTTTAAATAAATTTTAAAACTTAAAATAAACACATTACAGTCATACCTCTTGTTACGTTTGCTTTATGATACGTTTTTTCAGGTTGCGTCCTGAGGCGACCCGGAAGTACCAGAAAGGGTTACTTCCAGGTTTCGCCACTCACGCATGCACAGACACGCAAAATGACATCACGTGCATGCGCAGAAGCGGTGAATCGTGCGTGCGCGTGAGACACGGGTTGCTTCCTTTCAGGTTGCGAACGGGGCTCCGGAACGGATCTCGTTTGCAACCAGAGGTACCACTGTACATGCACCCCTTAAGAGCCACAGACTTCCTAAAACAAGGCCTTCAACCTCCTTTACTTCTTCAACCCTCCGAGCTCAAAGGTGGAATGGGATAGAGTTCCAGAAGGACAGGCTGATAGGAAATGGAAGTTCCTGACTTGGCCGTTTGATTCCCATCCAAACTAGATGCGAACAAGAAAAGAAGTAGGGCAAAGAATTCTGAAGCAGTAAGCTTTCAAGGTAATCCAGGTTTTGATCACCACCACAGGTTCAAATGCACTTTTGAAAACGTATCATGTTCAATGTTTCTCTCACGTATCCTTTCCTATTGGCCTTCCCAGCATTTGCTGTTTCAAAGTTTTACTAAAATATTATAGTACAAAATAGATTCTCAGCAAGGCTTTATCTGAATGAATTGGTCTGGTATCGTGCCACAAATTCAAAAACTTTGAACTAGAAACTGAGTCAGAAAACGTGACATGGGATGGTACTGAATGCAAGACATGTTCCGAGTACACTCCATTTTCCTACTTACCATGGATTTACCACAGTGCTGTGTCCCCAGGCTACATAAGACGCCTTCTCATCCCTGGCAGGAGATGCCGTTGCCACATAGACTTGGTTATCGACAGCTCTGTATGAAAAGGAATAAAAGGCTTCAGTATGAATCTTTGTGCACTGGAGAAAATGCAGCAGATGAACGGAGCAAGCTTGAAGTTCTATTCTGCTGTGCATGCATTCATCATATATCTGCTTCAGTGTAAGCAAGTACCATATTGTTTTTAATTTAGTGAGGGATTGCTTTCCTATTTAAAAAGAACAGCACCTTCAGCAATGTAACGAGTGTCACTATTGAACTATTTTTTGGACATGCACTTGGGAGAAGGGATAATTTGCTGGATCTCACCGTCCTCTTTGGAGCAGTTCCCAGTGGGCTGGCCCCGTTGTCAAGTTAAAAGCCCCTGGATACACCAAGAGCTGGCAACCTGGTTCAAAAGGAAGGAGGTGGTGGCTGAGTTGCATTTATATTATTGGGAGAGAAAGGCATAGTCATGGAAAAGCAGCAGCAATCTCACCACAGTGTTTTTTTGAGACGTTTCTCTTCCTTTGGTCAAGTCTTCGGGGTTATGCTTTGCTCTCCTCGGCCGCCACTGGACATTCTGTTTAGCATATTTTTGTGTAACAAAAATGTATACACCGCTCGAGTGAGGTTTCATTACAAAGTGGTTTACAGAAGCAATTAAACAAAGCATTGACCTTATCAGTACAAGACAGTTAAACCCAGGTATTGTAAAGCACCCAAAACTAATTAAAATCAACAATAATCTAAAAACTGATTAAAACACATGTATCGTCCACATATTTGGATGGGCTTTAAGCAAGCACTGGTAAGAGCAGAGCGAAGATACCTTCTTGATATCAATAGGAAGGGAGCTCCAAAGTGTAGATGATGCCACACCAAAAGACTGATTTCTTACAAATGTGGCACCTGTAATTGTGTAGATTGAAGTGGCCAGGAGGGCATATAAAGGGTAAGGCGATCCCACAAGTTTCAGAAAATGCAACCTGCTCCAAGCCCACAAGATAGGCCAGGTTAGAATACCTAATAAATATCAGCTGTGTTGGAAATGTTCTCTGTATGAAGTTTATCGTTGAAGTCACTGTCCAGAGATCCTTTCAGCAGCTATGGCTAGTCAGTGCCCAAATCAGTCTGGGGCCTTTTGGAAGAGCTACCTTGATGGCAGAAAGTGAGGAGGAATTAAAGAACCTTTTAATGAGGGTGAAAGAGGAGAGCGCAAAATATGGTCCGAAGCTCAACATCAAAAAAACGAAGATCATGGCCACTGGTCCCATCACCTCCTGGCAAATAGAAGGGGAAGAAATGGAGGCAGTGAGAGATTTTACTTTCTTGGGCTCCATGATTACTGCAGATGGTGACAGCAGTCATGAAATTAAAAGACGCCTGCTTCTTGGGAGAAAAGCAATGACAAACCTAGACAGCATCTTTAAAAGCAGAGACATCACCTTGCTGACAAAGGTCCGTATAGTAAAAGCTATGGTTTTCCCAGTAGTGATGTATAGAAGTGAGAGCTGGACCATAAAGAAGGCTGATCGCCGAAGAATTGATTCTTTTGAACTATGGTGCTGGAAGAGACTCTTGAGAGTCCCATGAACTGCAAGAAGATCAAACCTCTCCATTCTTAAGGAAATCAGCCCTGAGTGCTCACTGGAAGGACAGATCCTGAAGCTTAGGCTCTAATACTTTGGCTACCTCATGAGAAGAGAAGACTCCCTGGAAAAGACCCAAGAAGAAGGGGACGACAGAGGACGAGATGGTTGGACAGTGTTCTCGAAGCTACCAACATGAGTCTGACCAAACTGCGGGAGGCAGTGGAAGACAGGAGTTCCTGGCATGCTCTGGTCCATGGGGTCATGAAGAGTCAGACATGACTAAATGACTAAACAACAACGCTATTCAACCAAGCCCCCTGCTGGCAGTAGAGTGAGTAGCAACTACAGGTACCATACTGAATGTCTCATTGAAATCAACAGAATGTGGAGAGAAAACATGAGTTTTCTTTAGACAGGCAAGCACTAACAGACTGATGAGAAGGTGTCCTCTTTGTTCAACGTCAATTATACGACTTTTAGTTGTTGCACCTTAATGGGGAACCTCCCTAATTAGACAAATAAACGCTTGCCTTTTGGGACAAGGAGATTCCCATAAGATCAATTATGAATATGCCGAATTGTAGCTTGGATGCAAGCACATTCTCTTTGCTAGTGTATGGAACTTTAGGATATGAAATTGGGTGTTTTACAAGGAATTGTCATACCCTTCTCCCCCACCACAAATTCATTCAACTCAGCAGGATGTCCTCACCTTTCTGTGTGTAGATTTGAGCAAGCTCAGCAAAGCGGAGGTCGTAACAGATCCCAAGACCTATCTTGCAATAAGCTGTTCCAAAACATTAAAAACATGCCAGATATGTCACTGCCTTGGGAAGTCCAAGCAGAAATCTCAGTCTATAAATGCTTACCTCTCTCATTCTCTCTCTCTCTCTCTCTCTCTCTCACACACACACACACACACTTAATACTTCCTTATTAAAAATATGGCTGAGAAGATCCCATACACAATGAAAAGATAAACTCGCAGTCTACATACAGAAGCTAACAGCACAGACATTTTTTGACCACACATAAGCCACAATACATCCTGAAGTGAATTGCTATTCACTAGAATGAAGACGCTTTACTTACGTGTATCAATCACAGATAATGTGGCACCGGGACTCAGCGTTTCTGATTCCTGAAACCGGATTTTCCCGGGGACATTAATGTCAAACAAATGAATCTGTTTTCAAAATAAAAAAGGTGCGCTGCTTGCAAATTATTCCACATTAATTGTGCTTTCTCTATATGCCTGCTATCCATTCATATATATTTATATCACAACAGGCAATTCTATGCTCTGCATATATCTTCTAAATAACTTCAGTTTTCCAGAACACCTTGTAGTGCTCTCATTTGAGAAGTATATACAAGGGAATCCCCACCTTCGCAGGGGTTCCATTCCAGGCGGCTGTGTTCATCACCAGGACAAGTGCAAGTGGGGGGGATTCCCCCACCCCCTTTGGGTGCCATTTTCAACATGTGTGTCAGCAGCAGCATGCATACTGAATGCGTGCAAGTGGGGAAGACGCCTGTACTGGGCTGGATCCAGATTTGCTTTTCTGCCCATAGAAATGTTTAGTCCAAAGATAAACTACTGCAATTTAACCTGCAACTTATGGAACTATGGCGAGAATGCCAGCGTGGTGCAGCAATTAATGTGCCGTCTTAGATGTAGTAAACCTAGATCTAAATGTCGGAATGGGAAACTTCAGGTATTTGCCATGGAGCAAACTGGAAAGTCCCTTTGTTGTGACTCCATTCTAATCTTGGCAGAAAGTGCAGGATGCAAATGTAACAAACTATTCTTCAATGCCACCAAGTACCGTATTTTTCGCTCTATAAGACGCACCAGACCACAAGACGCACCTAGGTTTTGGAGGAGGAAAACAAGAAAAAAAATATTCTGAATCTCAGAAGCCAGAACAGCAAGAGGGATCACTGCACAGTGAAAGCAGTAATCCCTCTTGCTGTTCTGGCTTCTGTGATAGCTGTGCAGCCTGCATTCGCTCCATAAGACGCACACACATTTCCTCTTACTTTTTAGGAGGGAAAAAGTAAGTCTTATAGAGCAAAAAATACGGTATTTTAAATACGTGGCCACGAGGCTTCTCTCAGGTGCTGGATGAATATATATATATATATATATATATATATATATAATGAGCAAAGCAAAGCATATTTTGTTTTAACGATAATGTACACCTTATACAAATAATAGTGGGTTTCCTTTACATCAAAACATGGCCATAGCTATTATATTTTACCTTTCGGTACTTGGTTATCATAGCACCATCTGGACCAAAGCCAGTGCATGTGTTATAAAGCTTCCCAGCATCCTCTTCTGGAATAGATCCTTTCATTAAAGAGAAGAAAATTGTTATGACTTAGGCAGATATTCAAACACAATGCTTATTCTAACCTTACAGCTGTATTTAGGACAAGCAAAACTGTAACACTCATCACAATCGCCAATATGGCAATTTACCTCCAATCAGATAAACACCACACTCCTTCGCAATTTCCGAGAGCTTCTCTGTGGTCTCGCCAGGAATTTTCTCCGCATAGTCTGGAAAATATTTTGTGCCATAGGGAGAATTGAAGCATTCCTAAAATTGAAAGCAAAATGAAACAGACATCTGTGTAGCATATTCAGAATGCAATCCCTAAGTACACTTACCTGAGAGCAAGTCCCACTGAACTGAATGAGGCCTGCTTCTGAGTAAATATGCCTATGACGGCCCTCTCAAAGTCTGAGATTTTTAAAGTAATCTGTACAAATGTGTCTGGCCACAAGTGAGCTCTACAAACTTCTTCTTCTTGACAAAGATGAAACATGGATGAACTTCCAATACTGGAATTGTTTACAGAATAAAATATAGCTCTGAATTTCTACGCAAGCACACACAATGTATCTTTAAACGTGAGATGCAGTCCTCTTACATTTGACTTGCTTACGTCAGGCAGCTCCTTTGGAAAACGCTTAGGCTTCATGATGGGTCAAGTTACAGGAGGATTTGGGAAATGGGTGGGGACTGAGCAAAGGCAGTGTCAAAGGCTTCATGGAAAAGGTGGGTTAAATGAGGATTTGAAGTTAAGTAAGAGAGGTGCTATCGCACAGGTGTTCTGACAGGTACTTTCAAGAATACAGGGCAGCAAAGGAGAAATGGTGGAGTCTTTTGCATGAGCAGAAGACCTTTGGATGTTGGTGGGAGTGGAGAAGCAAAGATCACAGACCAGGATATAATAACCAAGATATATGTTATGGCAAGGCCACAGAAGCAGGCAAAGGTTTAGTGGTCCTAATTATAATTGTTGTGTAATCATAATATTATTGAATAGTCTTAGAAGACTTATAATCTTAGAAGGGGGTATGGCTGTGACTATCATGAAGGGACCATGCACTTTTGAATTTGCCTCGACGCTACTGGAAGTTGGTAAAGAGAGCCTGTGCTGGGTCTGGGAGTCAACAAGAAGTCAGTGTACTGTGAGCCCCAACAAAAGGCATGGCAATAACAACGCCAGATTCACCACAGAACCTGGGCCACGGTCTACTTCCTCAGAGAAATCAGAAGGATGCATTACAGTGGTACCTCGGGTTACAAACACTTCGGGTTACAGACTCCGCTAACCCAAAAGTAGTACCTCGGGTTAAGAACTTTGCCCCAGGATAAGAACGGAAATTGCGCAGCGGTGGCAGCGGGAGGCCCCATTAGCTAAAGTGGTACCTCAGGTTAAGAACAGTTTCAGGTTAAGAACGGACCTCCGGAACGAATTAAGTTCGTAAGCAGAGGTACCACTGTATAGAAGTCTAGCCTTGAGATTTGGGTAACAAGAAACAACATTATTTGGATTAAATCTGAAACAAGAGGTGCCTTCGCTCTCACCAGACAGATACAGTCATAGCTACCTCCATAATCTGGTGCATCTAGGCCCAAGTTAATCAAGTTTCTTTACCTCCCCACTTTGCTTCCTGGCTCACTGAGGAGCCAATTACTCTGTGGAATAAAGGCAAAGGGAGAAATTGGTGAACACAGATAATCCGCGTTCTTCAAGATTCATGAAACACTTGGCACCTTCAAACATGATAATTTCACAAGTAATGTATATGTCATCACTTTAAGTGGCTCAGGAAGAGAACAGCAAAGACCATTTTGAACATCCGTTGTTTACACTACAGCTAATATGGGAATATTTATTTGACATCGGAATATCCATTAGCAGGAGGGGAAACATCCTACACTTTAAACGTTCTGGCTGGTTTATCAAGAACTTTGCACTGTTGGGGCCGCATACAAGGCAGCAGAAGGTTAATGGCCAACTCAGAAGGTTAATGACGAACTCAGGCAAGAGAACTCTGTGGGCAAAGAGGATCCAACAGGAAAGGAACCCTTGTCCCAATTAAGATCGCTGCTGCACAAAGCCAGAAAATGTTGTTTTCAAAAAGCACATTTAGTGTAATCACTTGTGTGTCAAAGGTAGTAAAGCAAAACATAGTAATAGTAATAGTAATAGTAATAGTAATAGTAATAATAATAATTTATTATTTATACCCCGCCCATCTGGCTGGGCTTCCCCAGCCACTCTGGGCGGCTTCCAACAAAATATTAAAATACCGTAATGCATCATACATGGAAGAATAAAACAAAACAAAGGTGAGATATAAACGTAATAAATAAATGGCTCAGCTAGTGTCTTCGCTAATGTCTCTTCAGCACCAGCTATAGATCTATTACAATTATATTATTGCTCAATTTAAAATCACTTATCTCTCCTCTGTGGAATTACAGGCTACTGTTCCACATTTTAGAAATGGTTTTTAATCTTGTATTTGGCATTTCAGATACAGTATTTTATATTTTGCCATCTTGGGAAATCTGTTGAAGGCAGGCTATAAATAACCTAAAAACAAAACCAAACCCAGAAATGCAAACAAGACAGTTTTAGCTGTCATATCCAAAATGCACAGAACTAAGAACAACTTACACTTGCATGTTATTTCAAACCCTGCTGAAGGAAACTCGCAGTACCAGGGAGGAAGACTGAAACTCTGTGAATAACAAACAGTAAACAAGTTTGAAGGTTTTGTAGGAAACAGGGAAAGTACTCACTGGGAGAACCACAAGTTTTGCTCCTTGTTCTGCTGCAGACCTCACAAGACCACAGGCTCGGTTCAGGTTCTCAGTTTTGGCAGCAGACACGTGAAGCTGGATGAGAGCGATACGGAAATCTAACAAGCAAGAAGGCAGATCATGAACTAGTGGGAAAGGCCCCAGAAAATACTCCTAAATTTATAATTTAAAAAACCCCTGAAATTATTATTGTACCTGCAGTGCTCCAAATGATGCACAGACAACCTGCTAGATAATTTATGGATTATGACAGAAATTCTGACAAGGATGTGATGCTTGCGGGGGAAGGGGGGAGTCGAGAAGGAAGGGGGGAGTCGAGCACTTGGGCAAAAAAAGTGAGAGGCACAAATACAAGATGGGCGACACTGGCTTGAGAGCAGTACATGTGAAAAGGATCTAGGAGTCTTGGTTGACCACAAACTTGACATGAGCCAACAGTGTGATGCGGCAGCTAAAAAAGCCAATGCAATTCTGGGCTGCATCAATAGGAGTATAGCATCTAGATCAAGGGAAGTAATAGTGCCACTGTATTCTGCTCTGGTCAGACCTCACCTGGAGTACTGTGTCCAGTTCTGAGCACCACAGTTCAAGAAGGACACTGACAAACTGGAACGTGTCCAGAGGAGGGCAACCAAAATGGTCAATGGCCTGGAAACGATGCCTTATGAGGAACGGCTAAGGAAGCTGGGCATGTTTAGCCTGGAGAAGAGGAGGTTAAGGGGTGATATGATAGCCATGTTCAAATATATAAAAGGATGTCACATAGAGGAGGGAGAAAGGTTGTTTTCTGCTGCTCCAGAGAAGCGGACACGGAGCAATGGATCCAAACTACAAGAAAGAAGATTCCACCTAAACATTAGGAAGAACTTCCTGGCAGTAAGAGCTGTTCGACAGTGGAATTTGCTGCCAAGGAGTGTGGTGGAGTCTCCTTCTTTGGAGGTCTTTAAGAAGAGGCTTGACAACCATATGTCAGGAGTGCTCTGATGGTGTTTCCTGCTTGGCAGGGGGTTGGACTCGATGGCCCTTGTGGTCTCTTCCAACTCTATGATTCTATGAGATGGATAAAAAATGCAGGTAAAAGCCATTCTTTAGGCAGGGCTGATGTTGGCAGGGGCCAAGCCACTGCAGTTGCCCTCTCCAATGGTTTGACTTTACCCCCCCCATGGCACTCTTCCATTGTCTCTCAAGACAGACAGATGCCAACAACATTTCAAACTGTTGTGACCTTAAGGGGGAGGTTAGGTAATACAGTGGTACCTCGGGTTAAGTACTTAATTCGTTCTGGAGGTCCGTTCTTAACCTGAAGCTGTTCTTAACCTGAAGCACCACTTTAGCTAATGGGGCCTCCTGCTGCTGCCATGCTGCCGAAGCACAATTTCTGTTCTCATCCTGAAGCAAAGTTCTTAACCTGAAGCACTATTTCTGGGTTAGCGGAGTCTGTAACCTGAAGCGTATGTAACCTGAAGCGTATGTAACCCGAGGTACCATTGTACATTTATAATTATGATAATGTCTCTCATGTGGACAAGTTAGAGAGCAGCCTTTTATTCTTGCACAGCCACAGAGCTTTCCAAATTTACCAGAAGTCAAAGAAACTCCAAAGCAGAGTCCTTTAAACTTACTGGAAAATTGCCAACAAAACTTGCACAGTAGCAGAAATGTTTGCCTCCCTCTAGTTAAAGGGGAAAGGGAAGCGGTAACAAAGGTCAATTTAATTTTAAATCTTTTGTGGGGTAAGCATGCGTAGCACAAACTTCGCAGGCGCCTAGAGAGATTTCTAACAGCACAATCCTCTGTATATTTATGGAGAAGACAGTCTAACTGTGTGGGCTTTTTCGCTAGCAGTGTTAAGGATGGCAACGTGAGGCTATGGACACCTAAACTGGGGAAATCTCAATAAACTCAGGCTTACTAGTAGACAGAAATATAAAGGATGAAACTGTAAAGTGTGACACAGTTATCGTTGTCTTTTGTTTTAGGACAACCGTCCCAGGTCACACCAGAACCACTTGAAACCCTGTTCTGGTTTCAAACCACTGGTTTAGAATGGAATTTCTTCACTGGCATGGCTAAATATTCAAAACGTGTATTCCCTCCTACTTCCTGCAGAAAGGAGAGCAAGTATTTCACGGGGCGGGGGTGGGGTGGGGTGGATAAATCAGCCTTGGATAAGAATCCACTAAAGAGATGACAGACTTGGGCTTGCAATCCCGTTGCCCCACGGAACTCATTGAGACTTACTTCGCAGTAGTCTGGCATAGGATTTCAGGCACTTTTATTATAACTACGCTGAAAATCGCCCCGAAATACCACGTGTAACATCTACGGGGGGTTGGGGTGGGGTGGGGAGGCTGAGCGGTCTCCTACCAAAAAAACCCCATAGCAGCGATTATGGATAGAATGAGTATCTCAGGGTGCAGTTCCAAATGCATGCTTCCTTCTGAACAGAGACGTGCACAAACTAGATCAGTGCAAAGCAGCAGAAAAGAGAAATCTTGTTTTCCCAGGGAACTCCCCCTCCTCTCCCACTAGCAAAGCGGGTGTGTGTCCCTGTTTAACTGCCAGCCCAGATCATTTTGCATTTTGCACCGGAAATTAAGAGCCCCTAACGAAGCCCAAGGATCCCCCACCCCGGCAGGAAAGTCACTCACTGGCCATGACGCCTTTCGCCAGCTGCATAACCGCGAAGGCTCCTCCGCGCCCCAGCAAATGCACATTCTCCGAGGGGGGCGAGCTTGGAGCACAGCGCATGCTCCGTAGGAGCGAAGGGGTGCTGGGAAATGTAGTTCCGTTAACTGCCGGACCGGACCCAATGCGCTCTCTGCTAAAGCAACATAGGAGTGGATTTAAAGAGAATATTAAGGTTGCTTGCAATAGCGGTGGTGCATAAAGGAGGCGGGTACATTTATATACATATATATATATACATATACATATACATATACATATACATACACATACACATCTGTATAGAAATATGTATAGAAATAGAAATATGTAGAGAAATAAATTCACACACACGTATAGAAATAAATTCATACACACACGTATATGTGTGTGTATATGTTTGTGTGTGTGTACACACACACACACACACACACACACACACACACACACACAGTGGTACCTCGGGTTACATATGCTTCAGGTTACAGACTCCGCTAACCCAGAAATATTACCTCGGGTTAAGAACTTTGCTTCAGGATGAGAACAGAAATCGTGCAACGGCAGCAGGAGGCCCCATTAGCTAAAGTGGTGCTTCAGGTTAAGAACAGACCTCCAGAATGAATTAAGTTCTTAACCCGAGGTACCACTGTATATATATTCCCCACTCAACCCTGTCAGGGCTCTTGTACTCTTAAGAGATAGATGAGATGTCCAAAAGCATGGGCATCCTCATGAAACAAAAAGTTTTTTGTCCCAGCCGTGCTTCAGTGTATCTGAAGAAGTGTGCATGCACATGAAAGCTTATACCCAGAACAAACTTAGTTGGTCTCTCAGATGCTACTGGACAATTTTTTTGTTTATTTCATGCTGGGGAAAAGATGCTCTTGCTGAGCTTCAGCTTAACCTGCAGCCGCAAGAGGGAGACGGCTTCTGAAATGGTGGCAACTACAGCTGTCCCGTCGCTATATTCGGTTTATGTTTTAGTATTAGCTCTTCAAATCTTCCCAAAGGTAAGCAAACTAAAGGCACTGGAGAATTAGGCTATTATCCAGAGGAGGAGGAGAAATGGAAACCAAACACGCAGCACCAAAGGCTTCCCGCAAAGTTACCGCGGCCGTTTGATCACACCAGTTGGCAGGCAATCAGGTTTAGATCGCTGAAATGAAGAAACCTACAGGAAACGGCACTCCAGATGTTGTTGGACTACACTTCCCTTCACCCCAGACCCTTGGCTATGCTGGCGGGGGCTGATGAGAGTTGTAGGAGGGTCACAGGCAAATAGCCAACGCTGCCTTCAGGAATAGAATGAGGTCAGGTTGTTTAAGATTATTATCTGGGCAATTGGCAACCACTTGCTGTGCCAGTTTATGTATGCATCAATACCATGTCTCATTCTGTTCCACTGGACTGGTTCCTACTGTTCAAAAGATTGCAGCCTTAAATTTTTCTCTTGAGGTGTAACGAGGAACTCTTGGGCCAAGGTGAGCATGCATTGTGTTGCTTGTTTGGCCCAATTCTTGTTCCTAGGGCGAAAAGCACAGTATTGCTGGCTATGTTGCAAAAATGCAATGGTTGGTCTAGTGATTCAGGCACCTGCACATGCTTAGTAAAGAATGCCCTCATTTCTTTTTAATATTTTCTTACACTTAAGTGATGTCTATGCTGGCTTGGTCATGCCCACATAATGGAAGATGGCAGGGTCCCCAAAGACATGGTCTTCCCATCTTTACCTTCCCGTCACAAGCAAGAGAGGACCTTCCATTCATGGAAAGCTTAAGTCTGAATCCATCACCCTTCATGTTTGATTTTGATGAATCATAAAGAAAAACAGATTACAGTACATTTTTAAAGTGCTAAAATATTTAAATCCGCAGAAATGACATCGTTGGATCAAACATTTTTTATCTGAACCATTTGTGTTCAAATAGTACTGGTTTATTTACAACTGCAGTTTATAAACAATAACACAAACATCTTTACATTAACACTATGGGGAATCTCTGTGTTGAAGTAGGCACAAATTGGAGGCTCTTCAGGAGATTTTACTTTAAAGGAGAACTGGAGGAAAAAAATACATAAAATGACAGCTCTGGGCAGAATTATAAATACAGGAGCATTGGCAGAGGTGCAGTTCATGCAATGCATTGTCAAATACTTCTTTTAGTGTTGTTCATTTAGATATGTTTAAAAACGGGAGTTCCAGGATTAAGGTGCCATAACTTGATTCCTACTAAGAACGTAACTTTAAAGAGCTGATTTGTTATAAAGGTCAGCTTAATTTATTTTGTGATGATACCGCAACAGAATCTTTTGCGACTGCCTTTTGCAGCCTTTCATATCTTCATGTACTGAACTTGCTCCAGGATACGAAGAGCATTCAAGTTCCTCTTAAACATTTGGTCAATATGCGATAGCTACAGATTTGCAGCAAAAACTTGTAATTCTCAAGCACTGAAGACATTATTTCAAAAACTTAACTGACATGACTTGAAGAGGAAAAAGGCATGTCATATGTATAAAAAAATCATTGCAAATATGTAGCTCTCTGATCACTTAGCCTCACTTGCAAACAGTACACCTTCAGTCCGTGCCAGACAGTTTCTGAAAAGATAATCCAACAATTATGTTTGTCTCCCCATCATGGCAGCCAACTTTGATATTCCATCACATGAATTCTGATTTCAGCGTCCATTCTAATGCTGACCATGGCCCAATAAAACCTCCACTTTCATAATAACCCAGCCACATACTTGTGAGTGTAAACTTTTCATTACGGCATCCAATTCAACATTTCAAGTTTATTAATTTAGCCACTATTTTTTTATTTGATAGCACACAGAAGTTACACACCCACCCAGTTTGGTGGACTGCAATATTATTTTTAGCTGGGTCTCAATTTTTCCTAGTTCTAGTTCCTAGCCTATGTATTGTCGTCACTCCTTGATGTTTCACCCAGCAGATCAAACCACATATTCAGTGCTTCGGGCCTTTAAAAAACAGCTGCTACTTAACAGTTTGTAATATTAAGAAGAAAATGGGTTTCAAATATTTTCCCATTATCTTAGAAGTGCTGTGTGGCTTCAATACAATTCTTCAAAGTGATCTGTGTATTGAATCGCTCTTATTAAGAACAGGTCAGAACCTCAAAAGCTACTTGAAAAATAACTGACATTTATAATAAACAACTTTTACAAAATCCAAGAGTGTTAAAGAAAAAGACTTTAAAAATATATTCAAAATGTATAATTTACTCCTATCGTAAACCTGCTACCCAGGCACTCCCATCAGTAAACTGAAAATGTCCTCTTAGGTTAGTATTCCACAGGAAAATTCATTTTAGGTCCATGTGCAGTATCCAGGTTGTCATTTTTTCTTTTTTTAAGACACAACTGAAAAAGTCTTTTTCTCATTAGCTTTCCAGGGCATCCAGAACTTTCATAATCTGTTGCTTTATGGCTTTGGTAGCATCACCTGCATTTGGAATCAAGTACCTTAAGAAATGGAAACAAAAAGAACATTTGTTGACATACTGAACAAATTCACTGTTGATCAAAGATTTAGTATAGAATCGTCATAGAATCGTCGAGCTGGAAGGGACCACAAGAGTCACCTAGTCCAACCTTCTGCAATGCAGGAATCTCAACTAAAGCATCCGTGACAGATGGAGATAATAAAAGGATTAAAAATATTGTTTCATAATGACTAAGGCTTATTTGCAAATAGCCACGTTAATCCCTGTTTGCTGCTTTCATATGCAATTTGCAAAATAACTACTGTATCACAGCCCATCCAGCTAGAATTTCCTTGTGTAAATGGTTGTGTAATTCCCACCGCGGGTACACTTTATCTTACTGACATATAATGAGTTATAACCAAAGGCATCTTGGAAGAGCACCCTCATGTACCATGTGAGAAAAATGGATGATTTGCACTCTTTGTATAGGTCTAAAGGTGATATTCTTAAGCAAGTCAAAACCTGAAAACTACTAAAGAATCAACTTATACCAGCACTAGCAGCCTCATACCCTGGATTACTCAGGAATTCTAACGAAGAAAAATCCCCAGCAGTTTTGAAACTAGTGGTTAAAATCAGTAGTTTGGAAAGGTCCAGTCTGCCATATTGATTCAAAATAGCATCCAGTTGTATCCAAACACAAATCACAACCTTCTCCTTAATCATAGAAATTTGGTTACTGTATCTTAGGTAAAGGTACCCCTGACCATTAGGTCCAGTCACGGACGACTCTGGGATTGCGGTGCTCATCTCGCTTTATTGGCCAAGGGAACTGGCTTACAGCTTCCGGGTCATGTGGCCAGCATGACTAAGCTGCTTCTGGCAAATCAGAGCAGCACACGGAAATGCCGTTTACCTTCCTGAAGGAGCGGTACCTATTTATCTATTTGCACTTTGATGTGCTTTTGAACTGCCAGGTTGGCAGGAGCAGGGACCAAGCAACAGGAGCGGGGATTTGAACCACCAACCTTCTAATTGGCAAGCCCTAGGCTCTGTGGTTTAACTGTATTTTAAGAGGTATCCAAATGCATACTGAGTAGGAATGCAACTTTCCAAAATATATATGTAAAAGCTGTTTTCTGCATACTCAAAAGTTCTTTGCATCCAACCCATTGCAGGAAGTGAGAAATAAAAACCTCTGTCCCATGATGGTTGAATGGAGACAGCCATTTAATATGATCCTGTAATCATGTGATGTTTGCAGTAATAGTTATCACCTAATAAACAGGGCAATTTGCACAGGCTTTAAACAACTTAGGTGAAAAGCCACTTAAATGGAAACTTTTAGCACTTTGTATGTCTTACCTCCACATTTAAAAAAAAATAAATCTTGAGAAGCTATGTAGTTTGAGGTTTTGGTAAGAAAATCTCATAAAAGTCCAGCAGTGCAGATCATGTGGACCACTAACTATGGAATAATAGTTTGTAGACTGAGGTTCATCTAACACTTTTGAGTAATATGTAGAGGGATTCTAAGTCAGAAAAGGCGAAAGAGCCTTTCACAGGAAGTATGTAGCATGGAATGCTAAGAGTGTCTTTGTCTGTACCGCACTATTTGGATTTCCCAATCTGATGTCAGGGGAGAAAATGTACTGCAATTGATTGGGAATAATTATGTGTAGATGAGTCTGAAGCAAAACACAAACAAACAAACTTACCTCTCAATTGCCAAAATCTCTATGCCTGAAGTGGTGCTATTTCCATACTTGAAGGTTATTAATTCAGGATGTTTTTTCTTGGATGTTATTTTAACTACGGAGTTTAGTGCCTGGCGAGATTGTATGTAAGCAAATCCCTTTCGGGAGGTAATTTCCCTCAGACAGTACATATGTGTTGCTGTTACTAGAAGATGACTGTGAACAAAGTAAAAAGAGAAAAGGTTTTTTTGTCAGAAATACAGAAAGTGTAATCCAACGTTGCATGAGCAGAATTATGTTGTACACAGGACTACACCTTTCTACTCCCTTATTACAGACCTCTGCACAAAATGCCTAATTTGCCCCAGAGGCTCCCCCGACTTTCCACAGCAGAATTTGAGGTCATGTGCAAGACTGCAATGGAGAGAAGGTGAAGTCCCATTCCACAAGTAGATCTGTTCCGCTTTCACATAAAGAGCATAGGACATAATCCAGAGATGGGAAAAAAACATGGTGGGAAAATTAGCAACAGTACTCATTTCCTGAAGCAAATGCCTCAAAAGACTTTGTAACCACTTATAAATATTTATTTCAGAATTAAAATGCTGGCTATCCTCTGACAGAACATGACAGTGCTTTAATCAGCTGATACTGGAATTTCTCAAATGTTTTTCTTATCATAGGGTGAAATGTTTCTTGGGATGAAGTCTCTCAACCATTACCTCTACTGTGAAAATATTTTCTGAAGGGACCTCACAGTGAAAAATCCACGAGGTACCAGGTCATACAAACAAATTAAACACGTACAAGTACCAGGTGCCTGCTATAGTATTAGAAAACTCAGTTTTTTAGCCTTTCTTCAACAAAGAAGGTGAAAACTAGACATGATGCCAATCTTAAGCATCTTTACTGTGATGTGAGTGTTGCTGAGATCAATGGAACTCAGTTCCTGGTAAATATGTCTAGGACTAAAGGGTTTGTACACTGAACTCATTCCCAGATCATGCAGATCTTCACCATGAGATAAACAGAAATTCACCTTGTAGTAGAAAAGATGATTATGTGAGTCCACAAAATTCTCTAACACGTAGAAGTCAACAACTATCAATACCAAATATCTATCTATCTATCTATCTATCTATCTATTTTTTATAGTTATGTACTTTTTATAATAAGTATTAGTGATTATAATTATCCATCCAACAATACCTTGGAAACATGTGTCCATTTTCTTTCACCTCTTTACAGGGGAAATGAAACTTTATGTCTGGTTTATTTATCCAAGTCTGGATGTTGACGATCTCTTTTCGATCATCATCCGACATTGAGGAGCTGTCAATTTCATCTGTTTAAAAAAGAAAGGAGCGATGTCACATGGACAAAACATAGATAAACAGTTTTTTAATGTTACCTACCCGATCCTTTGAAGAATAATAATTTTAACATTATTAGTTGAAATTTCTAAAATGAAGAATACAGTACATCACTGCTATTAAAAACTGTGTCTTGCTTTTTATGCTAGATCGTTTTAGATTAGACAGCTGGGTCTACTCTAGGCATGACAAAAATCTGGATCTAACCCTGTATCTATCACATAACTGAATTCTCACGTTTTCATGCTTTTCTTTGCATTTTTGTTACGATGTATTGTCCAAGCCTAACGTTTCAGTTCAGTTGCAGTTCCAAAAATTAATAACTAACATTGCAGTGTCAAAAGTAGGTCATTTTACCTCAAAGCTTGCTTGCCTATTTGGTTTAAGCTTCCTAATAATTTTGCTATTATGAAAGTTATTGTTCATGGTGGGAGAAGGGCTGCAACATTGTTTAATCTATTAATCATATGAATCAAGCAAACTAGGGTGATATACAATTGTAATTCTTTTCTGCCAGAAGGAAACTCATCAGCAGAACAGGGAGGCAGACCCCTAACACTGTTGTGCAGATCTTCCTTTGGGAGGGGGATAACCAAAAATTGTCTCCTTTCCTATTCCACTGATGGATTCCCTTCCTCCAGCAGACAGCCACCACTGGATACCACCCTCTTGATAAATGTGTATTAAAGTGCATGTGGATAATAACAGCATTTCCAAAGTAAGATGTATGTATGTTTGTTTTTTTGGCAATGCACAAGTCACAGCAGGTATTCACAGAAGAGACACAAGACACGAGAAAATGCCTCTTTGAAGGTGGCACTTGCCACCTGCAGTTTTTATAAACACTTGTCTTTTTTTTAATGTGCCTATTAAAAAAATCTGCTTGCCTGATTAACTCGGGGCAATTGAATTGTTTTAATTAAGTAATATGAGCTATTAATTCAGTTATGCTTCCCTAGTTGGAAGAAGGAATTTTACTCATTCTGACATTGAGTAGGAATGCACAATTATGGATCAAAAGTTTACACAGGCAGTGACTTCACAATTCAGAAAACAGCATTATCTGCACAAGAGGATGTTAAGTTCAAAGTCTGCTAATTCTTCTGTCTTATCACTCCTTAAACTGATTGACTAGAAGACAGGAATGGAATCATCCCATTTCCTTATCTGATTTTTCCATTCTATTTTTGTGTCCTACTTGTCCTAAATAAAATATTGCACTTTATTTTCCTAAATAATGTATTGATCAATGCAACTGAGAGTTCCAGCACGAGTGCAGGTCAATCCTAAAAGCAACTCTAAATATAGTATTGGGAGGCCAGTCAGCTGTCATTCCTAAGTGATTTTAGATCACATGTTTTGTTTTGCGAACAAAATGTTCTCATTGCTGGACTCACAAATTCACTACAGGAATTGACAAAGATAGATTTTTTTTCATTCACAAAAGCCATGTCCTGAGAGCACCAAAGGGCCAACTAATACCCCCTCATCTCATTGCTCTTATGTCAATGTCATTTTTTGCTATTTTGAATGCACTTTTTGTCAAGGTTGATTCAGCCCTTTCCCTGTGGGAGGCCTGAAACAATTACCCCACAGCCAGTAATAAAAATCCTGATTTCCCTGGGCCCCTGATGGATTCTCAATTTAGGAAGCATGTTTCTTTATCTGACCCTTTTACATGGTTTTTGTACATTTTGTGGTATTTTATGCATTGTAACTTGCCGTTATTTCTGTTGATTGTATTTAGTAATTCTTTATTGTAACTGTCAAAACTGTAAACCATTTAATTATTATCTGCTGACATTTAACTTTACTATTATATTCTAAAGAATTATTGAATATTGCTTTATTTGATGTAAGCTGTTTATTTTAAAATTATGTTTTTATTGTGACTTTTTGTAGTGGATCAGATTGTTATTGGGTGTGGTGTGATCTTTGCAGTCTATTTTGTTGTTTCTTCAGCTTGCAAACTGCCTTGTGTGTACTGATCAAGAAAGGTGGTATACAAATTAAAACTAAAATGAAATATTATTGGGTGATTCTCGGTGAGAAGATCAGTAATGGCAGATAGGCTTCTCTATTGTCTCCTCTCTGCAGGAGTCTCGTGTGTGATTCTGGTAGGTTGTAGCCTCACTTCACATGAGGCAATAGTAAAGGTCTAGGTGGCATCCTGCATTAAATCAGGAGGTGTCCTAGAATTCTCAGGGCACGTGACTGATGCTCTCAACAAACTCCCCCCGCAACCTTATTGTCCTAAGGTTAAAGGTAAAGGGACCCCTGACCATTAGGTCCAGTCGTGGCCGACTCTGGGGTTACGGTGCTCATCTTGCTTTATTGGCCAAGGGAGCCGGCGTACAGCTTCCAGGTCATGTGGCCAGCATGACTAAGCCGCTTCTGGCGAACCAGAGCAGCACACAGAAACGCCGTTTACCTTCCCGCTGGAGGGGTACCTATTTATCTACTTGCACTTTGATGTGCTTTTGAACTGCTAGGTTGGCAGGAGCAGGGACCGAGCAACAGGAGCTCACCCTGTCGCGGGGATTTGAACCACCAACCTTCTGATCGGCAAGTCCTAGGCTCTGTGGTTTAACCCACAGCGCCACCCGTGTCCTAAGGTTAGAAGGATGCTAAACAAAACATATTGACTGCTTTAGTAAAGTGACAAGTGCATTTAACTCAACAGATCCCAGAGTAAGTTCAGGCATTGGTTAAAACACCTCTTTAGTAATACATCTAATGCCTGCAAGACAGGATGTGGAATTTGTTTACGCTGGATTTCAGATAGAAACATTCTCTACCATACCAGTATCATACTCTTCTTCATCTCCAATGCTGAAAACCGGTTTCACGCCTCGGTAAGGTTTCCCCACTCGGTCACTGCTGCTCACATGTCTGTTGACAAGGGAAGATTATAGGGTGGGGGTGGGAGAGAAAAATCCTACGTGTTAAGAAAGAAAAAAAAGAAACTGGGAAAAAGGACAACACCATGATATTTCCCATAGCAGCATGCAACGGCAAAAGACGTGAACCTGTATGTGCAGCCAAAGGATTCCAGATGAAGACAGCTGGCCGTGAGAAAAAAGCAGAGAGTGGCCAAACGAGCCACGCTGGATTAGTGAAAGCAGACAACAAGGGCTGAGTTGTATTATAGTGGTGTGGTCCATTTTGGAGAAAATGGTGAAACTGCCTTCTCATTAAACTGCAGCGAACCCAGCTCTCTCTAACAGGTCAAATAATCTAAGTCAGAAGTCAGAAGCATCTTTAAGGCTCTCTCCTAATACTGAGTTGTGCTATTGGGCAAGCTATTTCTCTCTCTCTCTCTCTCTCTCTCTCTCTCTCTCTCTCACACACACACACACACACACACACACACACAGCACAGCTTTGGTAGGTTGGAAAGTTGAGAGTCTTTAAAATAATCTCTGAAGATACCTTCTTATGAAACAATACAACAGCCTCAGCTGGTACAGTATAAACGAAGGCATTCCCTCTACTCAGTTTCCCCCTCCTGCTGCTAGTATCTGCCCATTCATCTTTTGCTGACTTTCTAAAAATATTACTTGGCATAGATACCAAGCATGACTCAATAAAGAGGCACATGTTTCCAACTTGTCACACATTTCCTAACAATTACAGTGGCCGAATGTTTCCTTTGAAATCTTTCTACATTCCGTTTTTGAGAGAGAGAAAATGATGAAGCTCATATTTACACACTGCTGTTGAAATTTAAATTCAAATGCTGTTAAAGGGGTGGGGTGGAGAGAAAGAGGTCTCACTCTGTTCCTGAAGGCATATCTTACGGCTTTTGCTTTCTAGGACTCGAAGATATTAAAAGTGGATACTACTAGGGAAAAGAAAATTGTTAAAGGGGGAAGCAAACAAATGCGCTACCCAAATAAAGCAAAGTCGGGAGTGCTCATTAGTAACTTAAGACAATAAGCATCAGTAACACTGACAATGTACACATGAAATGGGCAGGGTGACAGACGGGTATGGGGATGATACAACTTTAGTTTAGTTTAGTTGAAACTATGTTTGGGGGAAACCAACTACGGTTAAGTGTTATATTTGCATAGCACCATCTTGAGCATACATTTCTGGTTGCCTTCATGTTTCCATTCTCAAAGCATGCCTCCTCTGGTCAAGACTTTGCTGTTTAGTGGCACCAAAACATACTAAGGTAATGTTGCTGTTATTAAGTATAAACACATTGCAAAATTGTGGATCAGGGTTTGTTAAATTGTAAACAACACATTATTTCTTCTGAGAAAGCCTCCAAAGAAGAAACACCAATTCATAAACTGATATTAATAACTGTCTCCTTTGCCAATATACTTTTTATGGAAATCTTGCTCGATGAGAATTTGATAACGTGGTTTAATGGCAACTCTCTGTTGCAAAGAATAGTTTTAAGCAATATTTTAAATTGGTGTTGTTTTAATAGTAGTTGGTTAGATGTTTAAAATATGTTGTTGGTTTAGTTTTGTTTTATTTCAGATAAAATTTGCAAATAAATAAAAATGATAATAAAAATACAACTTTTTAATTTTGAATGTGGGTATAATGTAACACTACTGTTCTGTTAAAATTCAGGTTGATATGAATTTTGCTGATCTCCAAAGATCTGCTTTCTGTATGCTGACACAGGTGCAGGAGGAAAAATTCAAATTCCATCTAAAGACCCCTTTCAAAGGCAACTATGGTTGCTAGCTTCGTAACAAGCTTGTTCTAAAACAATGTTATAAACTGCCTTGTGCTATTCCGATGACGAGAAGTATATAAAACAAACAAACAAACTGGAATCCATGGTTTCCCACTTCAATTGTAACAGGAAACTATGGTTAGTAAAACCTCCTGGTTTGAATGCTGTATGCTGCTGAGGAGCAAAGGGGCTATGTCTGCAGGAAAAAGGATTACCACAGTTTAAGAAGAGATATGATTGTCTGAACATGACAATCATGTTTAAAAGCTTGAAAAAGAAGTAATCAGTGTGGTTCATGATATGGAAAAGGGGAAAGATGTTCCAGAACAAACAACAAAATGATTATGAACAAGTACTGTGTATACAGCTTCTCTTTCTCTCTCTAGTTTCCAAGACAACACTTGAAATGCTTTGATAGCTTGATGTTAAAAATAATCTGAGAGAGATTGTCAGTGTAACCAATGCTTACAAACACTGTGAAGTCATGCGAAAAAAGGACAAAGGCAGTTTTACTCAGATGGTTCAATACAATGTCTTACCGCTGCAAACTTGCTGTCTCAGGCCAGGAAAGATTGAAAGAAACTCTATAGCAAATTGGGGCAGAGGACAGAACAAAGTAATTAAAATCTATAAGAAAGAGTATCTGATTTATTTCTTCTTACTTGGCAGTAGAGTATCAAGCAGGAGGGAGTATGAGAAAATATGAAAAAAATCTTTTTCAATGAGCATTTTTAAAAGAAAGAAAGAAAAGAGTTATATTTTCCATACAATAAATACTATTTCATGGATTTCAGGAGCTGTTAGTAAGATCTGCTAGTCTTCCACAGAAGCAGTAATGTTTCAGTTATGGCTTAATGTGCACAAAGCTATTTTGGAGTACGAGGAATGGTGGATAACATAATCCTGAGTTCAAAGAAAGAGATTAATCTGTTGGCTAAAATTTAGAAGTTCCTTTTATTTTACCAATTTTTACAAGGTCAAGTTATTAAACCCAGAATCCACTTTCCCAATAGCAAGACATAATGAGAGAGGCAATAGTTAAATGTGAGAATCTTTTAGTTGTCCAGTGTCCACACTCAAACTGTTCAGAGAGAGGTTAAATAGCTTTTAAGGGCACCAAAATTGTTTACACAGAAACGATGGTGCTCTAAAATGGTGAACAATCAGGTGATGGTGCTTGTTACAGACATTTTGAAGGAATAAAGTTTCTATGAATCCTCCCCATCCTATGCACATTTACTCAAAAGTTAGTCCCACCGAGATCAATATGACTAACTTTCAAGTGAGCATGCACAACTTCAGCCAATAATCACTAAAAGCAGTCAGACCAAAATAACTCACCTATCAACTGGAGTTGATGTATTTTCAATAAAACTAATAACTTTTTCTCTCACATTCACAGATCTCGTCTTGAAAGCTTCTGTCATCTTGTTGACCAAGGACTTGACACCCTTCCCATCATTTGAACCATTTGGAGAATCGCCCTGGAAAAGCAACTTTTGCAGTTATTTGATCTGTACATAAGTAATCTGCATGAAGGTTATTGTCATATTTATCTCAAAGATGGAGACGTGAGCTAGTTAAAGGGACAATCTAGGATAAGGGGTTTTTTTTTGGTGTGTGTGTAGCTATGTTTCCTTCACTTCTTGACCAATTAGAGAGTCAGATGGCTATAATTATTAATAGATAGTCACTTTTCTCACAGATCCAAAGTGACTTATATTAAAACCAACTAAGAACGTTCAATAAAAATCTAAAAGCACAGCTATACAGATAGAAGGCATACCGTACACATACCAATCCACTAAAATAGGCCACAGTGCCACCCTTAAGCCCAGGTAAAGAGAAAGTCTTTACCTAGTGCCTAAGAACACATAAAGACAGCCACAATGGCTCTGTTCTACCTCTGTTGTTGGAGGCAACATGCCCCCAAGTACCAGCTGCTGGGAACTGCAAGCAGAGAGTGCTCTTGCACTCATGTGTTGCTTGCAGGCTTCCCAAAGGCATCTGGCTGGCCACTGGAAGAACAGGATGCTCAACAAAATGGCCCTCTGGACTGATTCAACTGGTCTCTTGTGACATTCTTGGTTTAAGTAATATGGCTTGAGCTGCAAAAGCCTGGAAGTAAATGTCTTTGAAGACAAGTTGCAGGGGATGAATTCTGCATGAAAACCAGTCCAATCCACAGCTACACAATTTGATATAAGAGGTATACTCACGTCAACTAAGGAGTTAAGACTACTTTTTGAGTACGAAGTACTAGCAATCCAATGGCCATATCCACTTTCTGGTCCTTCCACATTAATGTCTGCTAAGTGCTGTTGCAGTGCTGTGAGAAAGGACATTACATATTTTGTGTTGTATAGCACTATGCATTCTGTTTTGTCCTTGTAACAAAACAGGAACTATTAAACCAATGTACACAGGCAGGCCGGCAGGCAGGCAGGCAGGCACACACACACACACACACACACACACACACAGAAATTAAAATGGATTAACTAAGATCAGAATTTGAGTCTGGCAGCAAGAAAAAGGAAAAGCGCTGCGCTAGGTAGAGCCCAGCACCTTGATAAGGATGCAAACTGTCTCCTCCCCAGTCATCTGACTGTTCATTTAACTAGTGGAAAAGACATTTGAAAAGATAAAAACTGATGTGACTAAATATAAATCTTACCCATGAATCCTCCTTTGGCAATGCTTACATATTCTTTATTTTTCTGCAATAAGAAGATTGTAAATCACCCTGGGAATACTAAAATTGCTGTTCTTTACAAGGTAAGCAGAAACATGAAACAGGCCAAGCATGCTTAGACTAGCTGTATCTGGCATTTCATCTGAATATGGTTAGAAGACTTTGAGCACTCTGGTCTAAGAACTTTCATATATAGGAGTTCACAGGTGAATATTCTCTCTTATAAAATTAAGATAATGGCTTGGATCTAGACCTCTGTGAATAGAAGGGCTGCTTTCATTCGCAGAAAGGTCTTTGACCCAGCTTTCAGTGAAGGAAAATGGGGACTATTTTTCATGAATTTCTCCTTCCTTTGCAACTCCTGGACAACCTTTCATTCTGTTCCATAGGGTCCCTAAACACTCTGGAGCAGGACTGGGCGGGGGGCACAAGCAAGGGGGGTTGTAGGATGAAGGGGAAGTAGCTGAAAAAATCACTTTACTCTACTCTACTCTACTCTTAGCATTATTTAGCTGGATAGCACCCACTATGTTTAAATACAACACATTCTAATATTTTAGATGTACCTGTAAAAAGTGTGCCAGTACCATGTTCATATACATATCCTCTTCCTCCCGGCCACTTCCCATAAAACAAAGATGCTCTCCACCAGCTATTGAACCAGATTCAATAGACTGTTTCTGTGCTTCTAACAAAGACTTCACAGACTGAGCAAATTCAGATGGGTTCTGGAGCATCTGTGAAGAAAGTCAAAGAACACACGTGCGAACTGAAAAGAGACTAAAAATCACTCAAAAACAAATGGATATATTTAAGCATTAAGATGCCAAATTGCATCTGCAGTCCGATTTAACTAGTTTTATAAGTAGTGCATGTATCACATTTTTCTATATAAACTAGCCTGCGTTTAGGAAAACGTAACTGTGCAAAGGTCCTTAGAACATGGAGTCTAAAACATGGCCAAAATGGACCTCATAAATCAAAAGCAGAAATGTCCATACCTTTCCAAGACCACTTAAAACAAAAATAAAGGCATTTTACGAAGTTTATTTGAGTTCTTGACTTGAAGGCAAAGAAGTAAGGGAACCAGGTGTGTGAACATTTACTAAGGCATCTCTTCAGGGAAGCAAATAAGTGTTTTTAAAGGGTTATTGCAAATATCCTCATCACCATCTACTACTATCAGCCATCGAAGTTGTGAAGAAGTGGAGGAAGGCACCTCAAAGCTGCAAAAAGTCACAGAGGACTTCTACTTCCCACTTGTGAGTTGATTGTGCCACTTTCACTCCCTCAATTTGTGTTTTATTTCCACGTAAGGAGCCAAATACAAGAGTGTTGTTTTGTAAGTAAACATTGTATCATCGAAAGTGTGCGAAGTGTGTTGTGGCACTTCAAGATTAACATATTAAGTATGCCATAGACTAAAAAGCTAATACAGTGGAACCTTGGTTGCTGAATGTAATCTGTTCCTGAAGACTGTTCGACAACCGAAAACGCTCAACAACCAATGTGCAATTGCCAATCGGCAAAATCCATTGCAAAAATGGAGAAAAAATGGAGAAACGCGCCTCGGAAGTCTGGCTTACCAGGATGGGCAAATGAAACATCTGTTGTTCTGCAACACAGTTAACACTCTGGAAATCGTTTCATTTAGGAACTGAATAATTATCACTTTACTGTAACTGTTACTTTATTGTTACCGCCTCTTAAATCTATAATATATTTAGGAAAGTTATTTGTTTGCTATGCATCTGTACACTTCTTAAGATCTTGTAACTAAATGTTGCATGATGGCTCCTGAGATCAACAGTGTTTGGATACAACTGGCTGCCATTCTGAATCAAAATGGTGGATCGAACCTTTCAAAAACAGCACTGATTTTAACTACATACTCATTTCAAAATGGCACTGATTTTTTCTTGTTTCTTAATTCCCGAGCAGCGAACTAAAAATTGGTGGAGATCATGTCTATCCTTTAAAACAAATTGCATTTTAGGAAAATATTTAGGTAAGAGACATGAAGACTCTAAATACTAGAGGAGCTGTTTACAAACAGAATCCTTTGAAAGAAGCTCGTTTCTACAGTTTGGTGGTATAAACCAGGCACCTTAAAACAAGAATTCGTAGAACTAAGATTCTGAGAACTCTTGGATTCCACCCTTCTTTTTTAATGTAAGGAAATGAAAAAGCAAGCATATTAAGCAGCTAGAATGTATGCTTACCAAGTCTGAATCTAAATGAAAGGCAGTTGATAAATGGCCAGCATTGTACTGTTCTGCAGGACGACAATCCACCACAAAGAACCTTACTCCTTCCTGAAATAAGAATATTTTATTCATTTAGTTCAAAAAGTATACAGTAGTACCTCAGGTTAGAGATGCTTCAGGTTACAGACTCCGCTAACCCAGAAATAGTACCTCAGGTTAAGAACTTTGCTTCAGGATGAGAACAGAAATCGCGCGGCAGCGGTGTGGTGGCAGCGGGAGGCCCCATTAGCTAAAGTGGTACCTCAGGTTAAGAACAGTTTCAGGTTAAGAACGGACCTCCTGAACGAATTAAGTTCTTAATCCGAGGTACCACTGTACATACTTAAGGCTCAGTGGTTTAGACCACAGCGCCACCCGTGTCCCTAGAACTATGAATATGCCACCTTGAACTCTTTAGGTGTGAGACGTATAAAGCAGCAGTCTTTAAAAGGCAACAAATAAAGGGGATGTCACTGCAGTGTAGAAAAGCAATAGCTATTTGGAAAATATGAAAAGGAAACAGTAATTTTTCCACCCACTAGTAGGTACTCAATGAAATTAGCAGGCAACAAGTCTGAAACAAATAAAACAGCATATCCATATACAAACAGCCACTGTCTTGTGCTATACTATAGCTGTGCTGAAGGGCAGGATCACTAGATGGGTTCCCAAGATGTACTTAGTCTCATTGCCAGTGGAATTTTTTAACTTGTTTCCTTTGAATAGTAGACAGAGACAGACAGACCTACAAACACTGCTGTGTGGTGATATATCATATACTGCTTTTGAAATTATCCTTAGCTTTAAAAGTACTTTCCAGTAAAACTATACTGAACTCCTCTTGGACTTATGAAACTAGTTTCACAATTCGTTGGACTCTAGCCAATGACCAGGGAAACAGCTCTGTTTTTGGAGCTCCCAGAAGGTAGAAACTCTGATAGCTATGTTATTTCCTTCATTTAGGGGAAAACAGTTTCAGACTTACTGACCCCTTGCAGTTGATTAGCTTGAAGAATCTCTGATACAGAAACTGCTAAACACAAAGCTTGGCTCAAGTCTGAATCGTCGTCTTTGAGACCCAGCAAGCTGCTGCCAAACAGAGTGTGGTTGTCCTGTAATTGTAAGAGAAAACACTAGTTATGGCCAACATTAAGGCTATGTGCTAAATAAAGACACCAAACCAAGACCTAGACGGTGTCCTATTTGTGACCCTCAACTATGTACTTGCTCAATTCAGAAAGACTTCAAAAAGAGATGCAAATGCATGTCTTTAAGTGCAATTTCACACTATTATGGGGGCTCTGTGCATACTGCTGTTTTGGCTCTCATTTTGTCAAATAGAAGATCTCTCATAAGCTCTTTCTCCTGATCAATGTGTCAAAATACCCTTCAAAAATCGTGTCCAACAGCTGATAGACATTGTTTATTGGTTACATTTTTGGAAACACATTCCTTTGTCTCCATAGACAGGTAATAGGTATGATCCACTAAAGCCTAAAGCATGACCCTCTCTCTCCCCTCAAACCCACCAGCAGAGGCAGAGATACTGCAACTGTAAATGACCTCCGGCACTTCCCTGTTCCTGGCGAGTAGATTTTGCATCAGCCTTTGTTGAACAGTATTCCAAGATCAGCAAGCGCTACAGATAGCTTTTCCAGCTATTGCCATGAAAATGGTAGCATAGATTCTATACTAGGCATATAGTAGCTGTACTCAAAGCCCATATCACACTTGCTTCTTTGATAGTATAGCATTCATATAGCAGTGGTGGCTTTTACTTTTTTGTATTATGATGGGAAAAACTCCTTGTCATGCATCTGATTTGTGGCTCAGAAAATCCAGTATTCTAAAACAGGTTCAGGATTTCACAAGCCTACTGAAAGTCAAAAAGAACATGCTAGCAATTCAGTCTTTAAACTGATCTGCATATGTAACTATGAATATTTCCATTATCTGCTTTTGTAGATAATCATCCCAAGGGTTCTATTTTGGAAAAGAATTGTAGAAAATATTTTATTATTTATTAGCCAATTATGGAAATAAAATGAAAGGAATGAACCCCTAACTATACAAAGTCCAATTTCTTTTCTGATTTCTATTCAGATTCCTGTCTACAGTCACCCCCCAAAAAGCTGCTTTACAATAATATTATGACAGAGTTAAAAATAATGCCATCAAAAATATAGAATAAAATGTGATCATATTATACGTAGCTTTACATTTATTTCCCCAAGCCTCAATACAGCATTTCTGCCCCCAGAAGTGTGTAGCAAGTGGGAAATAATATAATGTTCAACTGCATTTTGCTCCTGCGACACGAAACTGAATGAAGCATACTTGAATAATGCTGTTTTGGAATGAGTGCCAACTTACATAACTGAAAATCAATGCTTTTCAAAGCCATTTGAATGTTGGCACAAGCCGCTCCAGGACTTGTTCCAAACAGTGATAAACTGCTGTAGTATCCAAAATGGTTTCGCAGCTACTGTTTCAAAAAGAAAAAGCTGCATCCCCAGAAAGGCCGGGTTTGATTAAGTGCCAAGGTCCAAACCAAATTTGTTGCAACTGGCTAAGCAGTAGGAAAGTATCCTGAAATCACTTCTGGGAACACTGTACTGTGTATAAAGCTGAGGCGACACGTGAGACCGAAGGCTTCGAATTATTATTATTGGAATGACTCAGTGAATGAACAAAAAATTAATATGACAATGCAAGCTTCTAATATTATCTACCCTTTACACAGTTCACCCTATAAATTTGCATGTCGTTTGTGGCAGGCACTATGCAGTGACTCTGCATGCAAGCAAAGGAAGGAAAGGATACGGCAAGGTAGTTTTCCTCTTCCTCCCTAAATGGCAGCTGCTGCAAAGGCAAATGATGAGGAAGGCAGGGAAGTGGGAGAAGGCAAATCCAATATATTCTGTGGACCCAAACCTCAACCAGCTAACCAGGCAACCAGCTTTTCACTCTCAGGGGAGCAATAAACTTATTCACCACCACATGTTCTGCTTCCTCCTGTTCCTGGTGGGCAAGGTGCTTAAGGTTTAAGAGCCAATGGGAAGCAGACAAGGAAATTTGCTATGCCATCACCTGTCATGTAGTTAGTTGCCTCTGTATCCTTACACCTGCATACAGAAAAGCTGGGTTGTAGTCTCAGCCTTCTGTGATGCTCAAAGTAACATTTGGGCCGATAAAAATATAAGCTAAAAAAAAAAAAGAGGCACTGCAGCACAAGACAGGCACCCATATTTGATCTAGACTTTTTTGATAGAGAATATATAACCCAAACTGTTCAACTGTCTCAGGCTCACCACTTCTACATATCATAAAATCAGGCCTGGGAGCCCTTGCTTGATGTTGATGTGATGTTGCTATGCAGAATACCCTTTGGGAAACACCCTAAGTGCTTGTCAATTACCTTTCTGAAGGAAGCTGGAGTTTTGCTACAATAATACTGTGCCAAGGAGAAAAGGTCCTCTATATCCTCTACTTCCAAACTGGCAGGCGATTTTTCTAGGAATTCTGAAACATATAACAGGGAAATTAGGGTCGGGGGCATTTAAAAACCAAACATTAAAATTTGTGTTTGCCAGAAGTAAAATGTATTTTATTTATTTTTTTAAAAAACAGAAGAATTACTCAAGCCAACATGTTTGCAGCTGAACCTCTTTTAGACACTCTAGCACTTTTTGGTTAAAGAGCTCAAATATTTTCTATTTCACTACTTCTATGGCAGTCAGCTTCATCACAAATGGCACGTGTCATTGGTGTAGGAGGAGACTCCCAAGTCCCATGGTAATAAAGGAGCACATCCTGGCTGCCTGAGCAACCATGACAATGTTCATTTCCATTTGTCCACCAAAGTCAGAAATGACAGAGCAGTGCATCCCTTAAATCCTGTACAAAGCCACATAATTTCCCAACATCCAAACCACAAATTTTGCTGGTGTGCATTTCTTCAAACACTCAATGAGAAGAGGTCTCATTTGTCTGCTGCCTTCACAAACAACTGTTCTACATTTAAAAAAAAGAGAAATATGCCATCTTGTAGGTCCACAGAAAAATATTTCAGATTCTCCAGATTCTTGCAGGTGTGCAAGGAGCCATTAATCATAGCGAACAGCGAACAAAGTCAAATATAGGTTCATCTGAGTATGGCTGAACTGGGCAGAACTGACAAAGTAGGCAGGGGGAGCACACAAGCCTGCCCTGTATATTATGCCGCACTGCAATCTGAAGTTCAAAACATCTGGAAGGAACTTTGATTCGTGTTTTTTTTTAATAACCTTGCAGGAGGAGAGGGGAGATGGTGTGGATGCTCAAAGCTGCTGTAGCCTTCTTCACATAATGCTAAACCATCGTTTAGATTTGCATCTGATCTGGCCCCAAAAGAACTAGGCTCATCTTTTTAAGAACCAACTCTTTTAAAAGGTGAAAGTTAAGGGCCAGCTTAATTCTTCCATATCAGTGGGGTTTCCAAGCACCTAACCTTAGCAATATAGTGCCTAAGGGTTTTTTTCCCTGCAGTTGCAGCAGCATTACAATGGCAGGACTTACTCACAACATCTTCTTTGTCATCTGACTCTGGTGCTAAGATGAATTCTCTGGAAAGAGGCAAAAGCGGAGATAAGGTGTAAGCACACAAAGTAGAGACAAGTCTATGTGGCCAACTAATTTGTTGCCCTGCATTAACTATATACTCACTTTGCATTAACAAGGATGATAAGCATTAGGAAATAAATGAAGAATGGATCTGCTAGCTGTAGGTATCCGTCCCATATTGCACGAGTGACTTCATGAGAACAGTAGCTTGAAAACAGGCATCCAAGCTGGAAAATTGAAGGAATGAAAGGAAAGTCAAGCAAGTTTGTAGTTAACATTATTATATTCATAAACTACCTGGAGGGAGGGGGAATAATTAATACTCCAAAATCCAAAACCCTTGGGGTGCCTTTCAACTCTACAGTTCTATGATTCCATGTACTTATTAGAAGAGTCCCTTGAAATCATGGAGACTTACTTCTAAGAGTAAGGACTAAGGCTACAATCCTACACACACCTATCTTGGAGAAAGCATCGCTGAACTTAATTCAGAATAAACTTGGGACTTACTTCAAAGTAAACTTGCACAGAATCATGTTGCACGTATCCTAAAACTTCAGCTATGTTTGTATTAAAAGGCAGTTTTACCCATTTCCTGTGAATCCTGGTCAGTTTTAAATATATTGCAGTGTCATAGCTTCCCAAACACCATTGAGGCTTCCTTAGCAAAAATCTGAATGCCAGTAAAACTCTGCAACCAAATATTTGGAAATAGCAGCTGCATAGTAGAGTGTGTCTAAAGTGCACACAGTGTAGCTTCTACATTACAAATAACCACCCTAGTCTTCTTCCTAGTCTTCCTGGGAATTACAATTCTGCCAGAAGACTAGGATTTTGCAACAAACAGGAACCTCAGTTTCTTTGGCCATTACAATAATAATTATGTACCATAAGTGTTTACAGTTACTGTTTTGGTTATTAAAATGCCAATCTTTTGAGCATGGGATTCATTTTTAGAGACACATTTGTGCCCTATCTGCTAAGCGGACATCAGAATATTATAATGCCTAGCATCTAATATTAATACAATAAGGTCCCCTCACAGATTACACATGCCTTTTTTTGTTTAAGCTTCCTTATTTAGCAAATGATACTTTTTAAAATTACTGCAGAAGTATGCTTTTCATTATGTTTCCCTACTTTCACTTTATTACCCAGTTGAGTGCATATGAGTCTGGGGTCATCTTTTTGGTGTCAAGAAAAGAGCACAGCTCTGGCTCATGGTACTGGAGGAGCAGCCGGAAGAGATGAAATGGTCTCCCTTTCAGGAAGCAGTCCCTAAAAAGAAGAATAGCAAAAGTGCTCATGAAACAGAAGCACAATTATTCTTATTGCACACAACTTTCTATTCTTAAACAAAATGAACAGAGCATTAAAATTGAAGTCATAGACACCTGTGACAATAAAAATATCAGGCTCAATTTGTAGCTTTGTTTCATACACACATGACAATGGAAAACACCGTCTATCAAACCCACAACAGAAAATTATTCCATTCTTTGAAAACAGCTAGTAAAGCCTCTGTCCTGGAAAAGAGTAGGTGGGTTTTAGGGGAAGACGGCAAACAACATTTAAAACCAGAGTGCACTTGAATATATTTTTTCTTTACCTGGGGATGTACTTATTCATGATAGCATAGAAGCAGTTGTATAAGTCACTTCGTGGAAGTCGAAGATGCACCAATGGCTTAAGTAGATATGTCCAACTAAGGCTAGAACTGTATTTGACATTACGAGATTTACAATAGAAGGTAATCACAGATTCAATATCCAAAAGTAATACTTTCTCCTCCTCCTCTGGCACTGACAGCTGATCTGAAAACAGACAAATATCAAAACCATGTTGAAAATGTGTCATTTTTCACTTCATTCACTGGTAGTACCTGTCATGCTGGGATCACTCTCAGAAACCGGAAATGTCAGAGAGCAAGAGAGGGCACTTCATACGCAGCTGCTATAGTGCTGTACCAACACAACAAGGCAACGAAGATCTAATAAGTCCCTTAAGTGCACCAATACTGCTGATACACCCACTCTGCTACTTTCCCCTTCTAACTGCACCTCTAAGATTGCATCTGATAATTCTCTATAATACCCGACAACATTAAGGAGTATTTTTTTTATGGGTGTGGATGCAAAAGAAGAGCTGGAAAGCCTCAGTGTACCTGTGGAAGCTCATGAATGGCCCTTTGGGCTCTGTCTCATTGTTATAATGCACAATAGCTCTCCCTGAATAGAGAGAAAGACATTGTTGCACTAGGCTGCATGATTATGCACTCAGCTGCTCATTCGACAGCAGACATAAGTCATCTCACATGAGCAATCAACTGGAAAATTGCACTGTGAATGCGAAAATTCTACTGTTGCACGTTCATGTTTGAAAGTTCTCTGAGAAGGGAGCTTTAGACTGCAAGGTGAGCGACTGCAGAATTCATTCATTCACCTTTTTTAGGGACAGAGGCTGCTTTTTTCAGTTCAACAAAAAGCAACTGCTGATAAGTAAACATTTATCTAAGTGATAATGGCTTTTATTCATTCATTCATTCATACATACATACATACATACATACGATTTATACCCCTGCCTTTTTGTAAAAATAACACTCTCAGGACAAAAACAAGTTATTTTAATATTTACAATATTTTAAAAGGCCAATATTTTTAAAGCCCTAGGAAAATAAAGACATCTAGAGAAAGCCTGCCAATCCTAGTATGGTAGCACGGTCCACATTTAGCCATCTGATTATTGCACAAAATAAAATGTATTAGCAGGGTCATTAAGCTAATGACGGCATTAATATACTTTTCAGCAATAATTCATAAAAGAGGCTGGCAAGACTACCAAGATATTTCAGCTAGACTTTACTGAAGTAATTCTGAAGTAATTCTCCACAGGTCTTAGAGCGGCGATAGGACAGGAAGGTAATTCTTACGGAGAGAATAAAGTGTTCAGAAGGGTTTCAGCCTAGCAATTTAATCTTATTTCAGACTTACCAACCAGTTCTTGACAATCTTTGTGAATCAGTGTCTGTTCCGGCAGATCTAGACAGCCATCCCATGATGCCAAACTGTCTCCTTTACCTGCAACATTCAGTGCAATCTAAAAACACATACAAGAGAGGGCGGAAAACCTTCAGTATGTTTCAGTGTGCACAAGATTCAATTCTTAAACCTGAATTATTTAAAATTATTCAAGAAAAACATTTTTAAATGCAAATGTAGGAAGCTTTTAAAATTATCTCTTTATAACTTTCAGCATTCTTGAATAGTAAACTTCCTTAACGTTTATGTTTAATACAAAGTAACCATTCTAGATCAGACTTATGGTGGTTATTTATTCTATTAATGCAAAAAACAATGAAACAATGTTATTCTGTAGCACCTTAGAAACTAAGTAAGTTTGTTCTGGGTATAAGATTTTGTGTGCATGCACACTTCTTCAGATATATGAAAGCTTACACCCAGAACAAACTTACTGGTCTCTGAGGTGCTACTGGACAACATAGTAAAGGTAAAGGGTCCCCTGACCATTAAGTCCAGTTGTGGCCGACTCTGGGGTTGCGGCACTCATCTCGCTTTATTGGCTGAGGGAGCTGGCATACAGCTTCCGGGTCATGTGGCCAGCAAGACTAAGCAGCTCCTGGCGAACCAGAGCAGCACACGGAAATGTCGTTTACCTTCCCACCGGAGCGGTACCTATTTATCTACTTGCACTTTGACGTGCTTTCAAACTGTTAGGTTGGCAGGAGCAGGGACCGAGCAACGGGAGCTCACACCGTCACAGGGATTCGAACCGCCAACCTTCTGATCGGCAAGCCCTAGGCTCTGTAGTTTAGACCACAGCGCCACCCGCGTCCCTCACTGGACAATATACATACATACACACACACACACACACATATCTCAACTGCGTCAGACCAACACGGCCTACCTGAATCTAGAACAATGTTATTCTGTGCACCTAAATAGCCAAAGCTCACATCCTACTTGTTCTGGTCAAATTAAGGGCCTGGCTACACATTATAAACTAGGGATGTGGAAACTTCTTAAGCCCGAGGGCCATATTCTCTTCCAGGCAACCTTCTGAGGGCCACATGCCAGAAGCAGGCAAGGCCAGAAGCAAAATTGGGCAGAGAAACAAATGTCACTTTTACCTCTGTACAGTAGTACAAAGGCTAATTATGGCGTAACTAGCCAGACATGCCTTCACCCAGACAAGCAAGAGGTATTGTCAGAGTTAGAGAACACATTCCAGCCTATTGGACTGTCAAACTGTTTCTGTATCTGTTTATAATACAAAAGTGAAACAAAATTTTCCTGGGGTGTAAAGTAAGGGGTGGGCCTGATAGAGAGGCTTGGCTGGAGGGCTGAATTTGATTCCTGAGCCTGAAGCTTCCCCGCCCTGTTATTTTCAGAAACATGTAACAGTACCCCAATTCCCTTTTTGAAACAAAGAAGACCATTTCAGGATATGGGTGACTGGGACCTGAGAAAAAAATGGGGGAATGAGATGCCGGACCCTTTCCCAAATGGCTATTTCTCTGCTTCAGGCACATTTTCCCAGCTACTTTCCCTCCCTGTAGGATTCAAGAGGTGTTTGTCCTTTCAAACATGCATTTGGGACCCCCATGAAAAGCCTTTTGAGGAAGAAATCAAGAAACTGCAAGCTGGGAAAGGAACAAATGTCTTGTTCCTGCAATGCTTCTCCCTGTCCAACAGCACCCTCTGAAGTGACTTCTCCATCTGTGATATGGCCACTAACATACACTTTTGCTTATTATGTGCAGTGAGGCCATAAAAAAGATGCTGGAGGATATTTCATTTTGCATTTACAACATGAATGCGGATGTTTTAAACAAACAGTGCCATAAAGTTAACTTTTACTGTTGTGCTTTCTTGTAAAAAGGAAGCAATTATTGGATTTAAAAACACATACACACACCAAGTATGAGCAAAAATACAACTGAGACTGTTAGCTTTAGAATGATAAAATTTAAGAGGTGACGGGCCTCCTCTAAGTGGTTCCTGTCTCTTTTGAAAGAGACCAAGAACTCAAGACAAATTACTACCTCTCAAAAAAAGGCCTTACCTTCCAGACCTTGGCTCTTAGGTCATCAGGCAAAGGTCTCCCTTGAATTATGTTTCGGACTGTTTCAAGATCACAACCACCTTCTTCTAGAGCTTCTGCAAGGTCATTCTCCCTGGAAAAGTTATCTTAAATAAGATTAAGTGAATTTAAAGCACCTCAACATGATCATCTCTTAGTACAGGCTTAATTATTATTTCTTATTACCCCAAAGTGATGCGCAAAATATTTTACACAAAGCTAAAAAACCCCCAGTTAAAAACACCCCCAAGATGTACTTAAAACCAATATGAAGTGGGCACTCATTGCTTAATGGGGGGGTGGGGGAGAGCTGCAGAGATGTATCACACAATGGTTTAGCAAGCTGTTCTGTGAAGTGCCTCCCCCCTCAGAAGAGGGGCTTGGTACCAGCTGTGAGGGGATAGGTGAGGTGGTGGGTGAGGTGTAAAGGGATGGAGACAGGGTTTGGTCAAGTATTGGGGGAAGGGTTAGGGTTGGCAAAGGATAGGCAAGGCTGGCAAGCAGAGTGAGAAGAGATAACAGCCCCTAGTAATTTGCCTATAAATAGAAGCATACATGATTCAAGTTCCATCTCATTTGAAGTGAAGCACCTTAGATATTATATTCATCCTTCTGAAAATGAGACATGCTTTAGATTATATTTTAATGATCTGCCTTGTGGGTATGGGCATGTGCCGAAAGGGCTGGTGGAAAGAGATTAAAGAAACACTCAAATATTTATGGCACAAATCTTAACAGGTTTGATCCAGAGTTAAGCATGTAACTAGGTGGGCAGAAGCCAACTACCTCATTTCTCTGCTCCATGTCAGTCAACCCAGTCACCTGAAAATGCTCCGCCAGGGGTCTCCTGAATAGTACTGGGTATATAGCACAGCAGGCTGAGAGGGAAGAAAGAATCCCTGAAAACTGGCAGCTTCTGTAAGCTGGAACTCCCTTCTTGGAAAGCACGCCCACCCAAATTTTCCTTTTCTATAGCCTCAGGAACTACTACTTACCTTTAAAAAGTGGGGAGGGGAAGTTCTGCCTCTGGGGAGCCACCAATGGGGGCAACTGTTTAACAGCTCAGAAAACAGAAAAGAGGGCTCCTGAACGCTAATACCTTCTGGCGATGGCAGCAACCCACAGGGATAAGAGGGCCCTTTTATAGGTATGAAGAGGGCTTTTCTCCCCATTTTTATATCTCATTGCAGCCTGCCTATGGAGACAAAGCTGCCCTCCCCCACTCATAGGCAGAGAATGGGACAACCTACACACACACACACACCTGTGTGTGTGAATGTGTGTGAGAGGTCTATATGTCAAGTACGAGTGCATGTGTGTACACATGTATGTGTGACTGTGTGCACACACATAATGCATATGGCCCTCAACACAACCCTTGAGCTGAAAAAGTTTAGAAATTAACAGTGCTTTTCGTAGACAGTGGTAAAACGGCTGATCTCAAAATAATATTGATTTGTCAAGATGTAATGAAATGGGGGTGAAAAAAGCAAGAAAAGAAGAGCTCTGGGGGTGATTTTATAAGTTAGTATATACTATACTGTACTATATCATGCTAACATAAACTGTACTATCTTGCTGTTGGGAGAAGGCAATGGTTCCCCTGCTGTTCTTATTCAGAAGCGTATGAACTTATTATTATTGCTTGCTAAGCCAAACTAGGATCTCTTTCATCTTTTAATTATTTCACTATAATGAACACCTGTTTTGGAACAACTCATTGATCAGCCAGCTGGAACCTTGGAAAATTAATCTCCTCCTAGGCTGCTGAAGCGCTTATTCATATGCTCCTCAGAGACGTAATGATGCTTTTTTATCTCTCCTCTCTTAATAATAGTCACTCATTGCTTCTGCCTATATTCTCAAGAGAGTCCTGTTATAAAAACACTGCATACATTCTGAGAACCTCAGATTCAAATGTTCTATGTATTTCCTCCAGTAACGCATGAGTTAAAAGCACAGCAGCCAGTTCAACAAGTTATACGCTGACTTTGATGTGCCAATGAATTTGGTCTCCTTTGGCTCACACCCAGAACTTCCTTGCCAATCACCTTTTCCCAAAGCCCAGGCAAATAGCTCTTCTGTTAGGGTCAACCCTCAAAAAGCAGCCCTTCGCTTTATGGTGCCTTCCATAATTTAAGATTGCCAATGAAACTACAGTATTATTTGGAAATTATTACCTTCAAATGTGAAAAACTTGATTGAGTCTTGGAAAATTCTCACAGAATTTAGTTAGTTCCATTGTAGTAATAACCACATTTTAGCAACAATAAGGAAGCTCAGACACATTCTTAACTACCACTGGAAATTCCCTCTACCACAGTCTGAAGGTGGTTGGAGCGTAACCACCTCTTCCGTTTCATCATGTCTGCCTCATTCAGTTCTCAGTCCTGCATTCCTCATGGCCAACGCAAATGTTTGTTTCTCCCTTGTGAGCCTGATTCATGGGCGTAAAAGAGGAACTTCCATCATCCTCCATTCTACTACATGTATGCTTTGTGTTGCTCTCTGCTGGACCATCATCAATTATTATGATAAAGATCCATGTGTTTGAGGAAGAAAATGAGACCATGTAGATTGCTTCTGTTCAAAATTCCAACCAGCCAGCCATGTTCTGTGATACTCAGTTACATTCCCCCCCCCCACCCTCCAGTTTTCAATTTTTATGCTCCAACTATTAGTCAGTATTCTATGCCCACTGAACTTACACAAAAGTGAATTCAGCTTTTCTGCGTAGCTAGTTTAGCAAAGTGGCTAAGAGCCCATGTTACAAATGAAAAGGTCCCTGGTTTGAACCTTGTCTCTACTGTGACCTCATAAGGTGGCCACTCTGCCTCAGTCTTAATCTTCCCATCTGCAATATGGGGGGTTAATAATACTGACTTACTTTACAGTGTTGTTGTCAGTATTGCTTTACACATTTGCAAGTGCTATACAAATGTTAAGTATTGTTGTTGTTGCTTTTTTTTTTTTTAAAAAAAAAGCTAGGCAGCCGGTGCAGGTCTCAAACCGCTGGAAGGTATTGGGGGATCCAAGCAATGTGTTGGTCGATGGAACCACTGGGCTAAGCTGGCACCAAGTATTGTTGCTGTTATCATTATGCAGTAGTTTGGTATTCTATGAATGAGCGTTTTACTTTTAAAACTGTACTGTGCTATTGTGAGACTCCTTATTCCTGCATATTTCCAGTAATTTAATGTAATTCCAAAGGAAGGAGTTGAATATTGTATGGGGAGGGCCAGAGTTGCACATAAAAGCTGCATTCTAACACTTTTAATGCCCTTTTCACTAACAGTTTCACAATGATTTTCTTCTGCTTTTTACATCTTATTTCCCAACTCTTCTTGACATAATTTCTCATTTAAAAAATATTTGCTAAATACCCATTTCGTGTTTTATGTGTTTAGCGAGGGGACAGGGAGTAAGAAAAATAGGCACGATTCTGTTCCAAATTACCAGCACAACACTGGTACATGAGATAAAGCTAGCAGGCTACTGTCCAAACAGAATTCTCTACATGACTGGCCACATTAAGGCAAAATGCGCAGTATGATTTTTAGAGAGCTAGTTACTACTTTAAGCAAAATGGACCAAGCCCATATGTTACACTTGAAAAAAGTCAGGCTCCTAACCCTTAAAAAGCTGCTACTGGAGTCTAGACATTTTAATTCCCTCCAATCCATGCAGAGTAGTTCCTAAAAATCTTACACTGGGTTGTTTAAAAAAAGGAAAACTCTTCATTTTGATTCCCTGAAACAAAGATTCAAGAACTCTGCCACTGTCACTCTCTCAGACTACATGGAAACTCAAGTACATTTTCTGAAACATGATCATGAGCTAAAATTTCCAAAGTGTTTTTGACAACTGCTAGTATCCTTATGAGGTACTCTTTGTCTTGATAACAATCAGGATTTTCCCAAGACCTCCCACAATGGATCAATACATTCCCCAAAACACATATTGCTAGAAATTTGGTGACAACCATGAATTCTGACATGTGCCTAGAATATAAAATTTCTGGATTCTAGCAGAGATCCTTATATTCTTTTTGGGTTGCATGTATATGAAGAACTTAAGAAGTCTATCTCCAGGAAGTCACAATTGCAGGACCATAACAGACAAGTTCAATCCTGGAGGTGACCCTAGAATAAAATAATTTGTATGCTAGTGCTTAGCCCTGACTTTCATTAGCGCCATTAGTTTTTGCACCTTCTACCCAAGACTTCTCTCTAAACCACGCTTATCCAATGTACTTCTGTGTTTGTTAAAAAGTAAGCAGAAAAGACTGTAAAGACCTTCCAACATCACAATGCCCTTTGGAATTCTCCAGCAGTCTTTGCTTACGTTATAACCTCCAAACTCATTTGCTCACCGTCATATCACACAGTACACCTATTTCTTGTCTCATCTATCTAGTACAAACTTTGCCACAGTAAAATTATAACTTGTAGGCTTTATCTCAGAATGCGCTTGACAATGTTATAAACAAGTGGCAACATGCTTAATATTGCTGAGTAAGAGATACTAATAACTAAGTGCATCATTTACATTGTGACATGACAAATGCTTAATAAATAACAGACCCCATTCAACCTCCCTGCAAACTTTGTCCAAATAAATCAGAATGAATGTTCAATAAACAGGTTGACTAGAAGCTACCTGTGATAAGTGAAGTTTGAGGTCTGCTGCAAGTTACATGGAGTGCTACTCTAATTCAGTATATGGCAGCACATTAAATCTTTTTGAACCCAGACTGGATTTTGGAAGCAATCCCATTATAAAGAAAGCTGGACTCTCCATTTGTGACATAAAGCAAAACAAAAGGTCCAGTATTTAAGTCTAAAAATTAACTTTTTAGATAGAAACTCCTTGAAACAGCCACACACTAGAAATCATAAAGGAGAGTAATCATGCACCAAATTTAGCCAACTTGAATATTCTGACACCACTGGATAGTGAACCTGACATGGGGTAAATTTTTCCTTACCTAAAGAAATCTAGAAGAACAGATAATTTGGCGTTAATTACTGTAAGCTATATTGTATATGTAGGTTACAGTAATTAACGCCAAATTAATTAAAGCCAAAACTGTTTATGCACAGGCAAAAGATGCACCAAATATATAAGTCACAATCATACAGTGAAAGGACAAAACTAAAGATCACTTTTATGTGTACTATCCAATCAGGTGAGACCAGATTCTATTCCTAACAACAGCAAGGTGTTTGTTTGTGTGTGTGTGTGTATTCTCTAAGGCTCTAATCCAAATAAACAAGCAACCAGTCATGCTGCAGAGTATAAGTCCTGTGGAATGTCCTCCTGTCAGATGTCAAGGAAATAAACTACTATCTGACTTTTACAAGGCATCTGAAGGGAAGTTTTTAATGTTTGATGTTTTAATTTGTTGGAAGCCGCCCAGAGTGGCTGGGGCAACCTAGTCAGATGGGTGCCATATAGATAATAACTTATTATAATTAGAATTATTATTACTCAGAAACTAGGTCAGTTGAATTTAGAGGGTGTTACTTCTATGATAACATGGGAAAGATCCAAGTATATTAGTATCATAGCAGTTTTGTAGAAAGAAAAAGTTTGAACAAAAGTCCACTCCAAATTAAAGTTAGAAAAGATGAACTCGCTTAGACATTTTCCTGAAACTGAGTTGAAAACTGCCAAGAACATGAATGTTCAGGTCAGATTTTAAAACAATTGACACCACACTAACTAAAATGAAAATACGTTAGGCACACATATTGGGCTGGATCATATAGACACAATGAAAATTAAGACAGCTTTAGTGTGAACCCTTAAGAAATGCCATGCTGAATGAGATGGAGATCTGGCTAACTTTGCATTATTCTAGTCACACCAACAGCTAACCAGAAGCGTGTGAGATGCTCACAGGTGAAGCGTGAAGATGACGGGCATCCCCCCAATAGTGTTTATGTCCTCAGCATCCAGTAACTGGAGCCTCTGCATAGGGAGCGCCATTCAGCCACCGTTACTAGTGGGGAACAGCAGTTATGCTAAACAGTAGCAAACCGGGGTCGGGGAGGAGAGTCCAAGGTGCTCAGCTGTAAACCTCGCCGGGTAGACCTTGATCCAGCTCAGCTCTCAGCCCAAACTGAACCACAGGGCTGCTAAGAAGGTGTGCAAGAAGCTGCTTGAAAGAAGGGCGTTCCGGATAACTGAATGCCATAATAGGTTATACAGATCATACACCCGATCCCAGACCCAGATCCCACCCCACCCGCCACCCCCTTGAGAAATGCCGCTCTGTTTAGGGAAGTTTTTAATGTTTAATAGGCTATTGTATTTTAGCGTTTTGTTGGAAGCCGCCCAGAGTGGCTGGGGGGACCCAGCCAGATGGGCGGGGTATAAATAATAAATTTATTATTATTATTATTGTTGTTGTTGTTTCGAAGGAGCCTGGGTTTAAGGGGTGGGATGGGGATGGATCCCAGCCTTGGCTTTAAGCCCAACGTGACAGCTCGTCCTTCTCCTCTATCGGGAGCGAGCAGGGGCAAGCCGAGAGCCCTGCCTGTTCCCTCGAGACACCGGCCCTTGCGAGGGAAGAGGCAGAAGGGACCTGCCCACGGCAGGCGGGCGGCAGTCGGTCCGCTCCAGCAGCCGCGGCCGGCCAGGAGGCTTCGGGCTGGGGCTGCCCAGAGCCTACAGGCATTCCGGGCAGGGCAGGACGGGGCGGTTTCTGTGACGAGCGGCGGCGAAGGTGGGAAAAGCGACCCCCGCCCGCCCGCCCCCCTCTCCGGACAACTCCATTAACCGATGGATTGTCCAACTCACCAGCTTCTCGGTGGGAGCGCTTCCTCCGCTCCCGCCATAGCTGTTGACGTGCCTCACCAGCGAAGCCGTAAAGTGCGGCCGACATAGTCAAGGTTTTCTGTCGCATCCCCTCCTCCTTTCGACACGGCTGCCGTAAAGCGCAGCATTCGCGCATAGACTAACGATGAAGCAACTGGCGCACAGCCTTTAGATTCCGAGTCCCCTTTGCAAGCTCTTTCCCCACCCCGCTTTTCGTTCGTGTGTTTGGTTTTGTCCCTGGACAGAAGTGTTTCTGTTTCCCCATAAGAAAAAAATATGTATTTATGGAGGTAACCATGATTTTATTTATTCATTATATTTCACTCAAATGAATCCCAAAGCAGCTTACAAGCAATAAACAAGTGTGATAGAACATAATACAGAACACCATACATCCGGCATAAATAATGTAGTATAATTAACATCGTAAGCGAAATGATTGCAACCTATTAAACACTGCTAACAAAGCAATAACTAGATATCCCAATTAGAGCAAAAGTCATATCACACGATTATCCAATCAGTGCACCATCTATTAGTGATGTTGTGAGAAGGATGCAAGCCCGAAATGTAGACACTGGTGCTTTCAAAAGCGAACTGACTTTTGCATTGTAAACGGCTTGTCAAGATACTGTATTGCAGATGGTTCTCCAGCAATAGGGCTGGGGGTGTGTGTGTGTGTGTGAAAAACCAACATGATTTTTCCAAAGAAGGCTAAATCTGAATTAAACTTGGGGTGGCACTCTCTAGAGGACCCTTTCATGAGCCCTTACCGCTCCGGACCAGCCCGCATCCTAAAGCCGCTTATTCACAAGCAAAGCACGCGGAGGCGGAGCGACGACCACGCGGCGTCGGAGTAAAGCTTCCTCCTCTTCCCGAGGGCGGCGCCGCGCTCGTTGCTCGGGACGCCTGCGGAGTCCCCGTCCCACACCCGCCTCTCGGGGCGGACCTCGCCGTCCTCGTTCGGAGCAGGGCCAGCCGGCGGCTTCCTCCGCTCCTCCCCCTTCTCAGCCCTTGGTAGGAGCGGCGTGGCCTGCGGAGGACCTGCAGCATGGGGGACACCCTAGACGAGCCCTGGTGGGAACCGCGTGAAGGCAGCGGCAGCAGTCCAGGTACCGAGCAGTGGCGTTTGCTGGTGACTGAGGAAGTTCAAAAGCAAAAGCCTTGCTTTGCCTCAGACTTTCTTTTGGCCTTCTTCGAGTTTGGTTGGCCGCCTGTCGTGGATGTTTCAGTGGAGATTCCTGCATTGCAGGGGGTTGGGCTAGATGACCCTCTAGGTCTAGGGTCTCTTCCAACTTTGTGACTTTCCTCTCTCGCTCTCTCTCCTCTACACATTTTGTCTCCACTTGGGCAAAGCAACTCAAATCTTCGCTTTCCAGCCCCAACCTCTGATTTATTGCGCTCTCTTCACTGCTAGAGTTTTCCTCCTGGTGAGATGTGGGGCTAGTGCCGGGTTTACGCATAAGCTAAACAAGCTATAGCTTAGGGCCCCACTCTCTTGGTGCCCCCCAAAAAAATTAAAGGAAAAAATCAACTGGATGTATATTTCCAAAATACAGTGGTACCTCGGGTTACATATGCTTCAGGTTACAGACTCCGCTAACCCAGAAATCATGCTTCAGGTTAAGAACTTTGCTTCAGGATGAGAACAGAAATCGTGCTCCAGCGGCGCGGCAGCAGCAGGAGGCCCCATTAGCTAAAGTGGTGCTTCAGGTTAAGAACAATTTCAGGTTAAGAACGGACCTCCGGAATGAATTAAGTACTTAATCTGAGGTACCACTGTATAAGATAAAAAACAAATAAAATAAAACCTACATACAGCAGCAGTGTTTAGTTTTGTGTAGGCTTCTATTTGTTATGTGCAAGTGGCTTTATATACCTATTAGGTCCATAAATTACCATATAGCATATATTCAACACAAAAAAACAGCAACAATTTGTTGTTGACACAGGACAGCTGGACATATAAAGGGCCTCATTACCTTCAGTAGGTTAGGGCCTCATCAAACCTAAATCCAGTCCTGTTTATTGTGCTCTCTCCACTGCTGTTTTGCTAGAGCAGGCGCCCCCAAACTCACCCTCCAGATGTTTTGGGACTACAATTCCAATCATCCCTAGCTAACAGGACCCAGTGGTCAGGGATGATGGGAATTGTAGCCCCAAAACATCTGGAGGGCCGAGTTTGGGGATGCCTGTGCTAGAGTTTTCCTCCCAGTGAGATGTGGGGCGTTAGGATAATGGCCCCAAACCAATAAAATGCATTTTAAAAACAAATGAATAAACAGTGTTAAACTGCCTGCTAGGTTTCTGACTGGGATTTGTTCTTCAGCTCAGCTAAGGAGGGACTTGTCTCCCTTCAGCCCCTTTAGGAAAAGAGCTTGGGCGCGCTCCATTTTTTGAAACCAATTTGGCTTCCAACTAGCCTGTGAAACAGGTGGCAAGAATGAAAAGCCGAAGTGACCTTTCAGGAGGAGTGAAACTGGAAGCAGATCCCCTTATAAAAAGGCCTTGAAGCTTTAAGGGTTTAAGGACTGCTGCTTATGAGGGGGATAAATATAAAAGGGGGTGGAGGGTACAGTTCTCAGGGGCCTATGGCTGATCCCTTTCTTGGGTTTCATTCTGGAGACTTGGTTGATGGAATTGTGTAGGGATCCTTATCTGTGAAAGAAGGAGTATGTACAATGTGTACGTGTGATTCGGCATATATGTAACGTTTGCATGGTGAACATGCATACCCATCACCTGCATCTAATCTCTGGCCTTTGCTTACATACATATATGCCTAATCAATTGAAGAGCGCCTTCTTGACATAACAAAAGACCAGGGTTCTCACTTATGAAGACAGAGAAGGGATATATACATTACAAAAAGAAACCTCAGGGTTGTGGGTTTGAGCCCCACGTTGGACAAAAGATTCCTGCATGGCCATGGGTTTTGTAGTCCCTTTGTGATCCCTGCCAACTCTACAATTCGGTGAGTCTATGAACCATATATAAATATATATTGATCTTATGCTTCTTTGGCTGCTTTTCATTCTGTAAAACAGGGGTTGGCAACCTAAGGCCCATTAGCCACAAGCGGCCCACGGGGGTCGTTTAATCGGCCCACGAGCTACCCCCGAACCAAGCCACCCGCTCGGCGAGTCCCCTCACGCAACACTAAACTGGCGCAGTGCGGGTACTCGCTTCTGTGGCACCGGAAATAGCGTCTGCACATGCGCCAACGCTGGAAATTGTGTCTACGCAGACGCTGGAAATCGCGTGTGTGCGTGATCCAGCCCACAGAGGGATCTCTGCTGGAGTGAACCGGCCCAGGCGAGGTAAACCTTGCTGACCCCTGCTGCAAAATATCCGGAGTATTGTAGCTTGGTGATGGTGCTGAGCATTTTTTGCTACCATATGCCAGATCTCTTCCTTCCTCCAACCACAGTTCCCAGGTTTTTGTGAGGAGACAAACAACTGTGAAAACTATTAGAGCATGTTGTGTAGCTATAGCCAGAGAGTGCTTTTTGGCAATATGAATGCTGCCCTCTAGCGTCCCTCACTTAAGGCCTTTCTGTGTAACCAGTTTTTGGTGGACTACACTCTAATGTTCAGTTACTGCTGGAGGAGGGTGAGCTTCCTGGGATGGTTCAAAGCGAGCCTTCTGCAAAAGAGTTAATTTGTGCTATATTTGTGCCTGAATTATGGTCAGTTTTATTCCAAACTCCGTCATGCTCCTGAGCTTGGTACCATGATGAGTGTAATGGAGTCTGGAGGCTTCTCCATCTTGGCATCTCCAAGGGAGTTCACAGTAGCATCTTCGGCATAAGATTCTATGGGAAACTTACTTCCTGTTGGTCCTGCCAACTATTAGGGTGTCAGGATCCATAGCAACTCCATCTCCTATAGGTGGTTGCACCTAGGATACGTGCAGCCTGGTTTTTTTTATTACAATACTCACCATTATGGAGTACTGTCCCTTTTTTTGTACTGCTTATTATGGCAGCCATTTTGTGCTGGCACCCATGGCACCATTATCAATATATGGTGTACCTCATTTTTTACCCCAAAATCCAAACTTCAGCACAGTTACTAGTTATTACATAAATAATACCCCCCCCCCCCCCGTTTCTTGCCATGTGCCATTTTCCCAAAGTTGTATTTCTCTTACAGGGCTGTGTAATAAATTGCATTTTTTGTGTGATGGCACGTACACTTTGGGACTCCCTGTCTATTGACATCAGGCAGGTGCCTTCGCTGAAATTTTCTGCTCCTGCGTAAAATATTTTTGTTTAGGCAGGCGTATTCAGACATTTGTAGAAGTTACATGTGTTTTATTCTGCTTTTTGGTTTGTTCTTGATTTTAATTAGCTTTTGAAAGTTTTGAAATACCCGTTTTTAATTTTCTTATATTGATGATGTATTTTTTTGGGTAAACTGTCTTAAGGTTTTATTTATTTATTTTTTTTATAATTGATATTTATTGAATTTTCAAAAAATAACAACAAAAATTTCCAAAAAAAAAAAAAAATTTTAGGATACAAAAAACAAAAATAGTGCATAAACAAAAAAGAAAAGAAAACCCAGCCGCAAAGAAAGAGAAAAAAAAAAAAGAGAAACAGAAAAACAAAAATATAAAGTCCTTTATAATCTCTATTGGCTCCTTCTTTTTTTTTTACACTGGGACAGTGATTCCACTGAGATGACATTTTGAGGAGAGCTTTCTGAGAGGATGTTTTTTTTTTTTCCATCATTGTATCTTCATGTACTTGTGGACAATTGACTGAGAATTGTAAGTAAGCAACGAACTTTATCTTATTTTTTTCTTCGCTCACCACTCCTCTGCCTTCCGCAATACTCTCTAAGGTGCTTTAAGACAATTCCAATTATTGCGGATATTTCTCCTAATCTCCACTATGGGCCATGGCAAGCGGCCAAGGGACCTGGATGAGGCAATGCCTCCCCCGAGGCCCAAACAGTCTAAGATTGATTCTTTCCTTCTTAACTGTAGCAGAATTAACAAGGAAGATAGCTACACGGTTGAAACTCACAATCGTTTTAATCCTTTAATTGACCTCGTACCCGATATAGAAGTGGAGGGGGTGAA